AGTTGCCATCAGGACAGATTACATTCGCATGATGGCACAGTTGCCACTTCAGGGCCAAGAGCCGCAGCCGACAAGCGTGTGGAAGCATTGAAGCCGGCACACCTAACATGCTACGTTCGAGACCAAGCCCATCAGGAAAGCTTCAACAATCTAGCTTAATGGAGCAAATATCTGCAACATTGAAAGCAAACCTGCATGGATTGCATGAGTTCTTGTGCCGCGCCGTCCAGCTTCGCGCGGGCTGCGCGGCCTCAGTTAAAAAACTGCGGTCAGCTGCGTTGCAGTCCTCCGCTCTGGCTTCCGTAGCCGCTTCTGAAGTTCTTCTACTACTACTACGACGACGACTGCTACTACGACTACTACCACTGCCAGGACCGCCACGACTGCTTCTACTGCTGCTACTGCTACGACTACGACTACGACTACTACGACCGTTATGGCCACGACGACTACTACTACCACTGCTGTGTGGGGTGAGAGCGGCGCAAGGGAAACAAACTACCACGAAGACAGCAAAGCCATATAAAAGACTGCACAAAGCGCAGTGTTGCGTTTGAGGGGAACAAGCCGTCGCTGAAGTTCAGCAACACGAAAATATTGGGATGGCTTGCACGGTCCATCTTCCACTTCCACTGTCGTGGTTCAGGTTACAGTGCCGCAAATGCACGAGCCTTCGCATCGGCGACTGCGAGCCAAGAAGACTTGGAAGCAGAGCGCCAGACTTCTTTGAAGCGAAGGCAGAAGAACGAAGACGAGGTGGCAGCTCTGCTTCAGGAGGCTCAGAGCGCGCAAAGTGCCTCTCTCACGTTGCGCCTCCAGGCCATCTGTCTGTCATGGGCATAATTTCCCATTTTATTCTGGGTGTTTGCTCTGCTGCATGCTGCACGGTGAGACTGAGACTACCAGCCCAGCCAGGCCACCAAGGACAAAAGCGAGAAGGACAAGGGCAAGGAGAAGAAGCTTCCGGGCTTCGTTGCCGTCAAGAAGGCCAAGCCGACACCCGCAGCCACCAGCGAGGGTTCCGCAGATGTTCCGGCAAGCAGTTCTGAGCCAGCTGTCACCAGTGAGGGACCGGGCCTTGGACTCGGCTACAGCTCGAGCTCAGAAGAAGGATGAGATGTTGTTTCACTACCTGGCACAGCCAAAGAGCAGCCCGACAGTGGAGCGCGAAGATCAGTCCACAGTGTTTCGGGTTTCGATCAGAATTCTAGCTGATCTAGCTCTGGCTTCTAGGTCCTCCGTTACGTGTTGCCCGAGGCACGACATTTTGCAGCAGCGGCCTTCAGCCTGCAGGAGAACCGAGAGACTGATGGTCCGAGCCACGAGTGTCCTGTGAGTCTTGTGAGCCTATCCGGGCATGGCCGTCATGTCAGGTGCCCGGGTTTGCGTCGAACGGAGCTCATCTCGCTATGTCTCAATGATGTTGCATCAACGTGCGGCGCAACACTTGCACCATTGTTGTAGCTGTGACAAGCAAAGGCTGGTGGTCTTGCAGCAGTTCCTGCCCGAGTGAGATCTTCAGCTCGTCCGGATGGTACAGTGTTGGCACTCTCTAGGTGATGGACTCTCTGCTCCGACACGCATCGAATTTCCAGGGCGTCAGCGATCAGGATGCATCACAGGCAGATGTCTAGGTCTGCATCCGGTGAAGGAGAGGTGAGACTTGTTTATGAATTTGACGCAAGAGCCAGGTGACGTTGCACTATTCGGGGAAGGCTGGGCTTAGGATTTTTTACAGTACCATGCCGGTGTTTTGCAGTTATTTTAAAGCCTGGTTGGAGCTTGTGCATTTGAAGGCGGAGGGCCCGACTGCGATGTGGGTTCCCAAGTCTTGCGACATTAAGCTTGCATGACAGACGTTGTCAGCACAGTTTTCTGTCACACGATGCCATGCAGTGCAGACGGGCACGGCTCGCTGCAGGTTCGGACTAGATCCTGGAGGTTTTGAGAAGGTGCTGGCTGGCATGCACGTGGCTGTCATGCTGTGTTGGAAGCTTCAAGGCTTTCGCCCGCATCAGGCGTCTGAGAGCTTGCTTTTGGTTGCACCTGAGCGTCGATCTTAACATTTCTGGCATGCAGACCTGTGCACCCAATTCTTGCGAGCTTGCATCAGCGAGTCCAGGTATGCTTCGCTGCGATCTCTTGTTCTGGATTACTTCACCTCCATCCGATGCTTGTCCGCAAGCGAGTCTGCTTTCTCTGCGCTGCCTGGATTTAATTCTTTGCAGGCCGAAGCTTGTCTGATGATCACGTCGTCTTTTCGTTTGACAAGCTTCCGGCTCAAACTTCTCGAGTCAGGCTTGCTCCAAGAAGCTCTTCGTATCTAAATCTAGCTGAGGTCCTTGCATTGCGGTGACGGCGATCGGAAGCTGAAAACTCAGGTTCAGTACTTGCAGTTTGGCCAGCAAGTTAGCAATTGCTACCGCTTGTCAGCTCGTCCTTCATTTCCAGCCTGCATCCGTGCTATTTCACATGCTCAAAATCAACCTTTCAGGATTCTCTGGAAAATAGTAGTCTCGCGCCACACGTCGAAGCATGCAATCGAGTCAGGCTTGTTAATGATAGAAGAGCCTGGCGAGTTCGGCACAGAGCATCTTCCCCTCATCTTCAGTGGTATTTCCTTTCTTAGGGGGAACTCCCACGCGGAACTCTCACGCGCCCTCAGCAAACTTGATGCTCTCCCTGCAGCGCGACCGAGTCGGCAAAGCGAGCGGTAAAAGCATGCTAATTGAAATAATTTATTGAATCTGTCGAGCAAACTAGCCTCGCAGGACGGTGCCGGTGTTTTCTTCTCAACTTCTGGGAACGTGCCCTAGGTTCATCGAGCAAATCGGCCTCTCGATTGGTGCCTTGCCAGCATATTCTCGAGCCCTTCGTACGAGATCCCAAGCTGCCTTTGAAGGTGTGCCCGCTGCTCGACGTGAAGCCCATCTTCTCATCACTGGGGAAAGGCACACGACGGCCATGCCGGACTTGCCACTCGTTTGTTCGGACCGTCGCGAAGGCCAGAGCTGCTTGAGCTCTTCTTGGAACTTGGCTGGCTGCCTGGCTCAAGATTTTGGGAGACCTCTACCTGTGTTATGATGGCCCTGCTGGGGTGCTACTCAGTCAACTGCTCCGCAGTTTCGCTTTGACAGACCAAAGCTTCTGCCACAGACAGCAGGACCAGAAGTCAAACAGGACAACCACTGAGCCTAAGGCTTGCTCAGGATAGTAGTGGCACAGACAGCAACGGCCGGATATGGGAACCCACTCTAGCCACTAGCCGTGAAGCACGCATTTTTTGCAGAGAATCTGCCGATCAACAGCGATGCACCCGACCAGAAGAGATGGGGGCATCAGGGCTTGATGCTTTGCCTTCTGTGCCTTGGGTACACCTCAGTGGTTTAGAGATCGGTCATCAACACAGAGATCCCGTGCAGTTCCTGCAGCGATGAATGATTGGCTCTACAGCAATCGTAGGACGAATAAGCGAACAGAGCAAATGCGAGTGATCCAATCAGACGGGATAGCTTTTGTAATCTTTTCTACATACAAGATACGTCTTATTCTTCTCTTTTTGAGGGGGGGGGGGGCCGGGGGTGGGTGTTGTGTAGGTTGTTGTACCAACCGCTCTCCAGCAACATCATGCACGTATCAGAGCTAGTCAGGAACAACCTTCGAGCAGCTGTCAGAAGGCAGTAGATGAAATGCTGACCGTTTGGAAGCACGGCCTGCCGATTCTTGGCGAGAGTCCGGTTACCAGGACACAAATGTCCACAATTGACAGTAGATTGAAAGTGTCGCCTCGAATGCATACCAGCCTGTCAAGGAGCGTTTGCTCCAGGCACTGGTGCAAGTTAGTTAGAGAGTTAGAGTCAGTTAGAGGTCGGGAAACGCAAAGCCCGGAATGACGCATGCGAACTTACTTCGCGACACGGACGTCGTTGCCAGCAAGCCGAACACACAACACAGCTCCTTTTGGGAGGTTCTCCTGAACGCCTGAAGGGTCCTGAAGGTTGCTCGTGATTGCTCAGCTCTCTTGTTAGGCTCAGTCAACCAGACCAGGCGAAGCCGACTGAAGACCTTGCCAAAGTTCAACCTGTCTGTCCTGCACTGCCCAACACTCCAGTACCTCCCAATCAATCCTCGTGTCACCGCCATCCACGACTCCGTGGCTTGCAAATGCAAACTCACAGCTGTCGAGCTCCAGACCCCAAACATTCGACACTGAAGGCAATTGAAGGCTCGAGCTGAATGCAACACCTGATCTCCGCGCCCCTGCATCATGGCGACAAATTCGAGCTGCCGACAGCAACTACCCCGCCACAGCACGACTTGGACTGTGGCAGGTCAGTGAAGGTTGTAAATCGCTGCAACTCTGAGATATTTTAGGCACAGTGGCTTTTGCGAGCCCGAGATGGAATTCGCAAGGTTTCGGGACGTCGTGTTCTTGTGGAAGATGCTGATCCTACCCAGCGGAAGTGGGCCCCCAGAGGGCACATGGCGGGTTCGATGCTCAAAAGTATGACAGCAAGAAACGCAAGTGCCAAATTTGCAGCAGGCCACATGGCCTTGGTAGGAAAGAGCTCTCCGAGTCCGTCCCAAGGCCACCGACTCCATCCTGCAGTGGTCATGGCACAAGGACGTGTTTACCGCAATCTTCCCTCCATAGTGGTTGTCAGGATCACAGAGTCCAGTCTAGGATCGCTTCGTGGTCCGCGGGTTCAACATGGAGCTGGTGCCGGAGGAGGCTCGGAGAATTTTGAATGCATGTGCGGCCAGATAGTGAGCTGTTCTCACTGTATTCTTCTGCTAACTCAACTTTACTTCCTTCGATGCTCGATGGTTGCCCTCGCGTCGCATGCACAGAGGCAGACTTCACTTCCACACTCCGCTAGGGACCTTCATGACTGCTCCATCGGTTTCGTGGCCAATCTTCGAGTCGCGGTTCGTTTGTCGAGTGTTCAGGACCGAAAGTTTTTGCGATGTGTAGCGAGCACTCCAGAATATCTCAGAACTCACGCCAAACACCGCCCCGTTCTGAACCTGGAGGCAGGGTGTGGACCAGCTTAGACTGCTTCGACATTAGAAGCTCGCTTGGATATGTCACATGAATGCTTCTTGGAATGACGAAGAGGTTGATAAGTCGACAGTTTGCGTCGTCTGAGAAGCAAGAGCAACACCAACCAGCGTGCAAAAGAAGGGGAAGTCCAGAACATATTTCAGCAATCGTGCTGGAACCGCGTTTAGACTGATTGGTCTGCGCACGAGACGCTATAAACGCGTGGAAACTGGCCCGTCTGTAGGCCGCGACTGACATGGGCGTTGTTTTTCCACTGAGCTATGGTTCTGTGGTTGGCGCTGCCACGCACAACCAGGGGTCTTCCCGGGCAGCCCCGATTCACCAAGATACGGGCTTCTTCCCTGATACCAGCAACGGCAACGGTGAAGATTCTAGGCCTGGGTGGAGAAAGATTTGAGGATTTCTAGATGGATGGCGTTAAAAGGGGGACTCTTCCTAATAGCGCTGGGGCTGCCACTTCTGCACCATGTGCGCTTGCTACTGTAGCGCTCCGACTCGAGCCCGAGATCAGACTTCTCAGAGCTTGTCTTTCAACTTCACGTTTCGCTGAACCGATCTCTCGAGGGCAAGAAAGGTATCGGCGAGGTGGTCCCAGACTGAGCATGCCGGCATTACGTGGTGACAATCTGAAAGCCGCAAGCCTCTGAGATCAAGAAGCCCTTCGACTGGCTTTTCGGCAAGTACAAGTCCCGGAGCAAGGCTGGACTTGCGCTGATGTCCACCCACCAGCATTGCCAACAACAGCCTTCAGATGCCAGGCAGTTAGTGCTGCCGATGCAAGCGTCCTGGCTGGTTCCAAGATCGATACAGAGGAGCTACTTCAGGAGTTGGCTTCTGAACTGTTGTCTGCAGCTTTCAGGACGATGTGCTCTTCCTGGAGCATACGCCCGACTTTAATGAGCAGGGGACCCAGCAGCGACCCAGCATTAGGCGGCCAGTCTGCTTCAGACCATTGCGACCTTGCCCCTTCTCATCTCTGTTAGTTTCATTCGTGGAGGTACTTTTCTGGTTTTTCAGGTCCGACAAGTCCGCCGCATCACTAGGGCCCAGGCAGACTCGCAAGTGATCTGCTTGAGGACCCTGAAGCCGGCCGACAGCGAGCTGCTGCTGACGTGCGCTGAGTGCTAGAAAGGCTTGTTTGTGACTGTCACAGTATTGCACACTGGCACCTGCAGGTATCTCACCGCACCGTACATCCGCGTGCCGCTGCTGCTGGGATTCTTCGCCGACCGTGAGCGAGTGTCACTGCTGCGTGAGCCTCTTTTGCAGGCAAGCAGCTGAGACATGTTAAGAGTTCCGCAGCGTCGAAGGTTCGTCGCCGGATCGGCATTCTGCTGCATGCTCGACGTCTCGATAAGTTGTGCGGCATCATTTCCCGCTTCCTACTCACTCGCAGACCCGCATCTCTCCTGCACTGCCGCCTCCCCTGACTCGCTGATTCTACTTTGCACGGCGCAGGCAGTGCTAGATGCCGCACTTTTCGAGCCTGGACAATGGCAAAGTAAGCAGGCCATGTCACGAGGAACGGCGGAAGTTGGGAGGGCAACCTGTCGTGGCCGAGGCAGCAGTTACGGGACCGCCGAGTGCTGTGCCTGCACCGGACCGAAGCCACTTGGCCACGCCGGCAGGGCCGGAGCTCCAGTGACTCAGTGAGCAGCGCAGATCAGCGCAGCCCATGACAGAAGATCAGTTGCCTTACGTTGACATGTTCGATTCTCAGGCTGCTTTTCAACGAGCTCCTGCGCTCGCCGAGAGACCACACCTCAGAAAACGTCATCCCCATGTGTCGCAGTCCGCGGAACGTATTCAATCCCAGAGGCAGCGAGGGTTGCTATTTCAGTAGCAAGTGCTGCCAACTCGAGTAACTTCAAGCGGTCTACGTCACTGCAAGTGGACAGGTAGCCAGCTAATTTCTGGGACATGCCGAGCTTGAAGCATGAAGCCTTCCAACCGACATTAAGCGCGAGCCATCATCAATAATCTGAAGCGAGCGCCTGTCCATGTCTATCGAAGATGCTCACAAGGCTTGACTTTAATCAGGTGTTGCTGGACACGACCCGCTTGCTGTTGGATGTCGTGAGCTCGAAGTGGTTTCGCAGGGAATTGCAGAAAGCCACCGCTACATTCGGATGTGCACACCATGTCAAGAAGCTCCCAGCCAGCATTTCAGCCTGTGACATTGAACAAAGTCAGGGCAATGACTGACCCGAACCAGCACCTGCCAGAGACCAACGCACCAGCCGACATGAAGCTCATGGTACGGGAACATGTCGACGGAAGGTTGGCAAGAGCCGGATAGCTCCGTATCACATAAGACATACAGTTTACAAGCAGCCCATGACCATGCACGAACGACCGGGGAGGGAGGGGCGGGACAGACGTGCGACCTCCGAGTCTGACGCGCTTTGCCGGCACTGCGTTTTCACGCATGGGACTGGAGGGACCGACTGTTGCGTTGAGTGTGCGACAAATTTATCGAAGCCGCCCCATGGTGCTTTTTGAGTCATACCGTGTGGAACTCTGCAGCAAAGGAGCATGCGAAGGTGCTCATTTGCTATGGTGACATGCTTATACGGGCACCACCCGTCCCCAAGGCTGGGAGGATGCTGCCATATAGCATTGCTTAGGAGTCTGCTGTTCACTACGGGCATATACGGCATATAGAAGGTGGTACGGGTACCGGCCGCGGCGGAATGCGGAGGTGAGGGGTTCAGACGGCGGGGGAGTGTGGGAGGGATTGCATCGTCCGATCATGCCAACGCAGTGGCTGGATTCATTCCAACATGACACGAGGCTGCTGCAGTCTCTTCTGAAAGCATAGAAGGGAGGTGATCGGGCGGGCTTCGCGACGCCCGCAGACGAAACGAGAATCGCACGCGCACACGCCGACCCAGAGACACACACACACATACGTTGCAGTGCCCCTACATAGTGACACCCAAGTGGGGCTGAATAGGTTTCATGTTGGAAGCAGGATGAGCAGGAAAGAGCACAGACCGCATGCTTGATAGTGCGGCAAGGTCGCTGTCGAAAAAGATCCTGGCCACCCGGGGAGTGCGAATGAGGTCCCCAAGCGAGGGACTTTGTTCTGCAGAGGGCAAGTCTGCCGCATCAGAACAGGGGCTTATCCTCTATTTGGTCCGGCTTGCGACTCGCGCCCGGCTCAGCCACCGCTATGCTGGAGCTCAAGAAGCTTGCAGCCGGAACGCCACAGGTGTGCAAGCGTATTTGCTTTTCCTCGTGCAGCACGCCAGGACTTGGCTTGTGTCCTTGCGTAGCGGGGTAGTGCGGAAGCAGGCGTGTCTTTGAGGACTGGAGCCTACTTGGAAAGGGCTGGTGCTCACTGGGAAGCGAAGGCACGGAAAGGAAGTCTGAGAGTGCCAGGAAGATGCTGACGGTCGACTGACAAGATAGCCTGGCGGGCCCCAGGTGCGAGGGCTGCCGACGGAAGACAAGGCTGGCCAGGAGGTCCAGTCGTAGCCTCTGCGGCAGCTCTGCGAATCTTCTTTTGGATGCTTGCTGCTTTGAGCCCAGGAGGCTCCAGGGACTTCATTCTGAGCTTCGAGATGTGCTGGAGGGCAAGGCATCACACTCTAGCACTTGTGCTGATATAGCAGCATGATGCAGCATGGCAGAAACATCTGAATCAACACAGTTCTGGCGACTGCTCCGCGCTGGGAGGTCACCGACATGCTGCTGTACTGGGCCAAGGACAATCACCTTTTGGAATCTAGTGTTGCATGCTCTCGGCCCTCTGTGCAAAGCAGGTGGCAGCAAAGAAGAAGGAGGATTTGCTGGTCACTGCCGCAGAGGCTGCTTTCCATGGCACTGTCGCTCTCACTTGGAGGTCTCCGGCTGCCGGGCGCATGCCCACCTCGCATTGATCTACGGCACGAATGGGCCAGACTGGCAGACGATCTTGAAGTCATCTGCAGTCTCGGTTTGTCCGTGCCTTACTGCGCGAATCTCAATCTCAGGTTGGAGTTCACAAGCCGAAGCGCCGCAATTTTCTTGTCTGCTCAGGCACGGCACGGTTCAATACGCATCTTGAGTCGGCCTGTCTTAGACGCGGATGCAGGCCTTCCTCAATGTGAACCACAGGCCCGCATCCGATGTGCCTCCGCTGCACGCCCACACATTGTTTTCGCAGGTGGTTTACGAAAAAGGACAGCAGGAGTCCAAGTACATATATGCCTTTTCACAAAATCTGCTTTTGGCCCATGGCCTGCTGTCCAAAACCAGCTTTCCCTTTCAGGCACGTCAACTCCGAAGCAGCCGCCTTGTTTGTGTCCTTCCACGGATGCCTGCACGTTTGCCGCATGCGTCACATGCTTCACCGATTTATGCGGGCTTTCATTCAACTTGAAGCTTGCACACAAGCGTCCACAGAACTATCGGCAGAATATCGAGGCTCGGTATTTGCGAATTCGAGCTTTTTGACGTCTTCGAAGGCCTGTCTTTGGACGAAGCACAGCAGCTTCGTGCAGAAACATGTCACACCGACACCGTGAAACAGTCGTAGGGCAATTGCAGGCCGACGCAGTGTGCTAGCGAAGTGGCTACGTGAACACAAATCCAAGGCCACGACCTCAGTGGCCCGTCAGGCGCTTCCACATCCTGCCATGCTCGCTTTCCTCTGAGGCCAACCATGTTCTGCAGAGAGCCCGTGGCCCAAAGCAGGGACACTGGTTGTATCAAGGTATGAGTGTCCCTCCCCAGCGATAATTTTCCAGTTTTATTTTTGAAGGAGGGGGTTGTATTCCCACAGTCCTTTACAGTGAACCTTACAGCGTGGATTTGGGCTCGTCGCCGATTCCATGCCTTGAGGGTTTTGGCTTCCCAGCCATAGTGTTCTTGGGCTTGGGATCGCATATATTTTCTTCCTGGGACCTTAGGATGCTGGGCTTCCTCACGACGCTCTACAGTTTGTTTTTAAAAATTTGGCCTGTCGCTCAATATCCCCTTCAAACACTTGCAACTGTGGGCTTCCCACCGGCACCCCCTTTTCCGTCAAGAGCGTTGGCTCATCGTTTCCCTGTTTAAAGGTGTTGCGCTTCAGTTACACGCTCCTGTCAGATGATCTCCTCAGATTTTCCGCTTCCCAGCGCTAGCCTCATTTCGGGCTTCTGGAATCCTTTGCGTATTTCTCCGCCCTCCGCCCTCCCATTACGGGGCTCTCCCCGTTTTATCCTGTTTTAAATTTTGTGCTGCAGCATGCCCGGGGTCGGGTGCCCGGACAGCGGCATGCGCTCCTTGCGACGTGGGGCCCAGCGACCACGGCAAAAACAAACCAGAGCCCCGTTGCTCGCGAGACGGGGTATCTTAGAGCATGGCACTTCGAAGTGGACGGCTACTGCAAAAAAACATGTTCGATGCCTGATTTTGGTAAAGCATTATGGCATATGGGTCTTGGGAAGAGTCTTGGGTAGCATGGCATGGCCAGCAGACCAACTTGCACAGCCAACCTACTGTTGCATCATCAATGAGCACAAGTAGAGAGAGAAACCAAGAACATAACCCTGATTTGTGGGACTCGGCGCATTGAGGTTGAATGGGTGGCAACGTTCAGAGGCGATGCTGATGTGGGGCTGCAAGACAGCACATTCTGCGGCATATCTCGTGTGAAGGCACGATCGATGGCTTAGACAATGGTGAAGATTTCCAGGCTGTGTGCTGTGCACGCTGGAAAGTATGCACGAGGGAACGTACGTGATCTCACAGGACATGGAGTGGGTGAATGCCTTGGCAATTTCAGCATGCTTTGTTGCTGAAGTTGTGCACTGAAGCAGCGAGGCTGAGCTTCCGGCTGAACCGGGGGACTACGTTCCCCAGGCGATCACGGCCCAAGCGCAGAGAGAAGTCGAGGCTATGCCATGGCCATGGCAGGTTGCAGAGCCGAAGCCCGAGTGGCGCCAGCCGAAGTCTGGAGAAGATTTCCAGGGCTGGCTTACTCGAGTGACGTCCCGACCCCAAACACAGGAAGCCAAAGGAAGATGTGCTTCCGTGCGCCGGTAACGAGAAAATTGGGCAGGAATGGGCCGAAGGAGAGCAGTGGGCAGATTTCTGTCAATCTGGGGCGCTACAAGGCTTGAACAAGCTGTTTCCAAAAGTGGCTGCACCGGCTTGTTGGCCGGCCGGATTTGGCAGGTCAAGGGTCAGGGGATGTCTCTGATACCCGAGTGGGCCGTTGAGAACAAGGAGAGATGCCCAGACATCAGCACGGCAGTGCATGCGGGTCATTGCCGGTGCAGGACTTTCAAGATTCTTTCGGGCGTTCCGATGTACACTGCTCTGACATCGAGGAAGCTTCGGTGTCGCGCACGATGCTCGGATCTGGGCGCTTCGTCGCAGGTGTCGGCACACCGAACATGGAAGCGGATTGTCGGCCACCACCATGACCTGCAGAGAGCCCCGGCCGACTTTGAGTGCGAAGCCGTTCCGCATTAATTAATTGAATGTCAGGGAACTGAGTTTTGACACATAGCCTTCTTGTGCTGGGTACTGATGACGCTTGTCGACGCACTTCGGTGCCCTCCTTATCCGTTCGAGCAAGATGCCTCTGCTCCAGTTTCCCTCGGTTGTCCACAAGTAAAGACTGTAGCAGACCATGACACTCATAAGAGAGGCTGCACGGTCCATAGTTCATGCCGTTAAACGGAGCCACGGAGCTTTCGGAACGGTGCCTTCCATGACTCACCTCAAACATCCTCAAACTGTTCATATTTCCCAGTGTATGTCGACATATTGAATGCTTTCTCGCACATGTGGTCGGAGTCCATCGGTTGAGTGACCGTGGAGACGAGACTCGCCCAAAACCTTTGCAGAATGAGGGAGGGCTGGCAGAGGGGTTCGGGATAGAATTGACTGGTGCCCACCAATGGAGGCACAACCTAGCCAGAACCGCTCACCCTGGCTAGACCCGCGTTAGCGTGCATTCTCGACTGAAGAGCATAGCACGCGGTCGATCCAGATGTCGACGGCAAAGGTACATACACATAAGCGCACACCATCACCACCCATGAAAGGCAAGTGATTTCGTCCGTCGTGCCGTAACTTCGACGGACTGCGAAGATGCCGAAGAGCAGTTGCGAAACCAGGCTCAAGATCACATACAACTCTGAGTTGATGCATGTTGGTCCGTGTTGGTGTGTACATCATTACATCCTCTGACCACGCGAGTCCGATGATGAGATTCTGCCATCTTTGCAACAGGCGGGCAACCCTGTGAACAAAGCTGGTTGCCCAACGAAGACGAAGAGGCTTATGCCGCGGCTGATCTATACGTATGACGTATGAGTTGACGTATGCAGAACTTTCAGTTTCGTTTAGCCGCCTGTGTGACTGAAGCCTTCGCCTCTGAAAAGTTGGAACCCAAGAGAGGTATGCCACAAGGAAGATTGTGCAACATTGAAGTTGTGAGCACGAGAATGTCCTGCAAGAGCCTGAATGAAAGTCTGTGTGACAAGGATGGGAAATGGATACTCGAAAGCTTGAAGACGATCCACACAGTTCGCAAAGCTCCAAGCATGTGAGCAGTTAGCATGCAGTCGGTGGCCTTCGGCGACCTCTTTTAAAACCGCAGGTTGAGTGGACGCCTGCCAAGCTCTTAGCAACCAGGCTGTTTCGGCTGTGCGCTGACCAGAGATCCTTTTAGTATCAGGTTTGAACCAGCCAAGCTTGCGGACAACGAGAAGTGGCTGGAGCCTCATTGGGCTTCGTTTGCACGATGCTTCAACGCTGTCCTCGCGGGATTATTGCATGTCGTCCACTGCAGTGAGAACTGAAAGAAGGGCCAGTCGTCTTCGCATGGGCGAGGGGGAGCGAGAGAGGGAGGAAGCAGAGATAGAAGCAGGAAGCAAAGCGCAAACGAAGCAGAGACAGCGAGAAGCCTTCAGGCCAGCAAGATCGTCTCAAGCGCGAGGGTGGATCTCTTCCGCAGCATGAGAAGTGGCATTTGTCAACATCCGCTATGACATTGCGTACATGGCGGCGATGCGACTTTCTGGAGCGGCACCGCTTCCAGCTTTCCTGCCCGAAGTGTGTCAGGTCTGGTTGGAAGCTGGCATACGCGGCGAAAGCCAAGCCCTAGACTTCCTAGACCCCCGAATGAAGAGGGCGGGGCGGCGACTCTGGGACGTAGCTGCGGGTAGCAGAAGAGGACAGAGAGGCAGTGAGAGCAGGGGAAGCAGGCGATCATGATGAGGATGCTGGCGACGGCGATGGAAACTCACGTCCAACTAGCTAGCGTTTGAGCCGGGTGGGAGAAGCGATGCGGAGATCTTTGAGAGAGGTCTGCCACAAGCCGTGCAGGTTTCTGTGTGCCTCCCGCGGGTCGATTTGCGGGGTGTGGGGCCAGACTAGACAGAGCGGCACCACCTCGACCTCGACTGCCGCAGCTGGGGTCGCAGGTCGGGTGGGTACAATAGGGTGGGTGTCAAGAGACCAGGGGTGTCGGCATGAAGGGTCGCAAAATTTTGCAAAGGTATTTGCTAAAGGCGAAAAACCATCCTTGTTTGGGGTACCTTTGCAACCCGATCTGTTGCAGTTTGGGCGTTTTTCTGCCTTCTGCCCCGGCCACAAGCCCTTAGACATTGTAAATTGTTTGCGATTAAGCACGCAAAATGCTGAAAATCCTGGCTTTGGCAGTGTTGTGTGCAGTGTTTCAGGGATTTTGCTTCGAAGCAAAACATCATCCCGTCCATCGACGAGTTTTTCCGCCGTGTAAGGGCTAAGACTTCCATACGAAAAAGCATGGCGCTCCCGCCCAACCCCCTACTGATCTGACTAGTGGTCGTAATTATAGTTGAAACAGTCGCCGTATGTCCAATGCCGGAGGTCACCAGAGAAGCATGTGTGTCATCAAGCTTCTGTTTCACCTTCTGCTAGCAGTCCATTCATGATCTGGCTGTGAACCGTTCTATGCCCTTGACTGTTGTCTTAAGGCTGGCACAGATTCTCTCACCGCTGCGGATCTCTGGCATCAGACTTGGATCCGGATGGAATGCGATGTAGCCTGTAACCAGACCAGATGGCATCCATGGCATCCAGGACGGTTACATGTTCAAGAAATGTCGCATCTCGCTCAGACACTTTGTCCGTTGTCATGCAGTTCGTTCTTTTTGCACTGTTGCCTTGCGAAGAGTGCAGGTCCGATGAGGCGCGTTTGATATTGGTGGTGCAGGTGGAGGCCGCTTGTCCTGGCTCTGCACAACGGCCCCAAGAACAGAAGCCTGGACAGATCTCACCAGTCCCTCACTGCCCTACACAACCAAGTAGCAATATGTGGCAATCGAGCAGAATGGCAAGGGCGGGTGCAAAGCATGCAAGTGCACTGAATAGATTGCAAAACTTTCAGTAGGGCCTTGCCCTTGGAGGCCTGTCGCTCGAAGCGTTGGCTTGCTTAGAGAGCAGACTGAAACTTGCACTGAGTGCGCAGGAGTCAATGCGTCAGCTCAAAGAGGCCAGACAAGTAAAGTTCTTGGGGTTCCGGCTATGTAGTTTTTGAGGGTTTGGCTGGTTTGCGCGTAGCAAACCGAAGAACTCGAAGCGTCCCGTGTCAGAATGTAAATGATATGCGAGTTGCAGGTTCCGTCGTTCTGACCAGAGTCAAAGTCTGTGGCACTATCTCGCCCTTTCTTAAATAAAGTGTCGGGGGCGGGCCAGGTGGGAGGGAATGGCGCATGATTGAGCTGTGCCGTGGAAGTCATGTCCCGTCCAAGTGCTTCTTCGAGCTTCAAATCATTACGCAGATGTAGGAGACAGCAGAGCAATGTCTCTTTACATTGGCAAGAGCCCCGTGGCCTTGTGTGGAGGTCTTTGCTTCTCGCGATCCGCCGGTTGCAGAGGCGACGCAGGGCACAAGACGACGAAGGTTTGTTTGTCGTGACTGCGAGGTTTACGACATCGTTGAGTCCAGCTTGCTCGCTTACACGAGACAATGAGTGCCAGACTGCACGTGCAAAGCCAAGATTCTTCATGCGGGAGCAGGTACGGACGTCAATTTTACCGGTCCTTGGCCTTCTGTTCGGACAGCTCTCATGTCTTTGTAAAGCACACGATTGAGAAAGTGGCAGACAAGAGTTTGCGCGCCATGCATATCACGAAAGGAGTTTTGCGAGGTTCGAGCTTGCATAAGATGAATGTGGACTATATTTCGATGTGTGTGGTAAGTCAGAGAGTCCGAGCATGAAGGACAGCAGATGGAGCTTCTGCGTGCCGCAGGACATGAGCTTGGCATGCAGCTACAGCTACTGCGAATATCTGCGAATTGCCTGTGACTGTGAATGGATCTTACGTGGAGGCATGCTGTATGTCAATGCTCAAGAGTGATCGGATGTCTCTCGATAACAAACAGAACGCGGACTGCACTTCGATGTGGCCGGCTGAAGCCGGGCTTTCTGTGCAAAGTGTCCATCAATGTGAAGAGTGAAGACGGGCAGAAGCCATATGCTTTCATGTTTTCACAAAGACCAAATACTTTTTGTGCTCGCGTTTTCTAACCCATGTCCTGAGCAAAGGCACAGGCAGGGTTACCTGTCCACGACACAGCAGAGTGCAGACTGCGGAAGAGTTCTTGTGAACGTTTGTGAGGATGGTGAAGTGCCGCTATATCGGAGAGAGACTTGTGCCCAGGTTTCTTGTTTTCCTGTGGTGTTCCCTGCAGTAGCCGAAGTCGCTCAGGACCGCAAGCTGGAGCCTCGCGACAGGAAGTTTGGACAAGCTCCACCCGTCCCGCCCTTGTTCGCCTGGACAGAGTCTGACACAGCCCAAAGAGAACCTGACAGGCCTGCACCGAGCATCCTAATCTATCGGCAAGTGGTTGCAGACGTCGGTCGGCAATGTTTTGTCCCTTGACTGTAAGCAGGCTCGGTCTCTGCACATTCAGCAGCGTTCTTTGCTGACAGGTGCCATCTCGCTTCTTGCGTGGGTTGGTGCCCAGCGCTTTGCTGGAGCCAGAAGCTCAATGGATTTGGAACATATTGGAACCCTGTGTAAAACTTTTTTCGGCTGTCATGAAAAAGGCGCTACAGCTTCTGGCGCTCGGACGGAGCTCCCGACAGCGCAGGTTCGGTTTGATTTCTCGAACACCCGACAGCAGCTGCAGTGCACCCCGGTTTCGATAACTATTCCTCCGAGAGGCTGTCTCACAGGTGACGAGCTACGGCCGTGCGATGGCCCAACACGGCTCCAGGTGCGCCCCATAATCGCAGCAAGTCCGCCACCAGTCACCTGTCTTTCTTCGAGGTGACCTTGTGCCGCAGCACGACGGGAGTCAGTGCCACCGTGCGAAGAGTGTGCTTGAAGCCCTCGCCAGGCGGCCAAATCCCTGGCTCCAAAAACTCGAACTTCTGGCCAATGTTCAGGTCCATACTACTCATGGGACACCGATGACTCCAAAGCTGCCGAGGCGACTGAAGACGCCTGACAGCATGATCCTGTTGCCTTGCGAGAGGTTCTGGTGAATCTTCGCCACAGCTCCACGTTGAAATTTGCATCTCTTTTGGCCCGAATCGAGGCTGAGTCGCATGCCTGTCTTTCAGCGTTGAGGCCTTCAGTTCATTCTTGCAGGACCTCTCCCACATTCTCGCCTGGAGTTCCGAGGAAGGCCTTGCAAATCCGGACTCTAGCGGTCCGGTGGTCAAATGTTGAGTTGTGGGCAACATTGGGCAGCAGGCGGTCGCGTGCGCCGGGTCGAGTTTCCAAGGTTGTGGCTTTCGTTTCAGGACTGGCAGAACGGATGCAGACCTCGTATGTAGCCATCTTCTGCCTAGCGAGTATGTGATCAGGAGCATGGTGGCCACCTTCACTGCGAACAGCACAGTTTGGGCCTGTCCACGCATTAGCTGGTTATAGTCGATAAACTGTTATATCAACATGTGGCTTGTTCAGAATTAAATTGAGTGGCATCGTAGCAAGGTGGCTTCTGGTTGGCGGAGTGCAAATGGTCGAACAAGGTGTGGCTCGTGGCATCGCTGCGTCGACCAAACTAACCGTTTTGCAAGCTCCAGGTTTGCAGGCTCCTGCAGCAGTTGGAAGCCTAACTTCTGCAATGCAGCCTTCAGTTTGTGGTGTAGTGCACGTGTGCATTCAGGGACACGCGAAGTGTGGTGTTTGCCTTTCGAGTTTTGCGATAGTTTTGTGCAGTCGCATGAACTCCTGCTCGCTTCTATTGTAGCTTTCAAGGCCCGAGGTGGAGAGCTTTCAGTTAGGTTTGTCCAGTGTGAGCCTCTGGATCGTCTCCCGGATGAGCACAGCTGGGGCGAGTCGACAGTGGCCCCGCCACCCGGTTTTGAGGGTCAAGGCATCCCCAACTAGTTCGGCGGCCACCGATGCCGACTAGTTCGCCTATGCCCGTCAGCCCCACGTGGTCCTCAGATTGTGAAGGTGCAGGTGACCGTCGCCAGTTCGGGGCGGGTTGCTGGCAGCCGGTGCCAGTGCAGACCACGCCAACGGCAACGCCCCACCGAGCGGCCAGTTCAGGGACCAGCCCAGGCTAGGCTCGCCGCAACCTGGGAGTGCAGAGCCAAAGGCGCAGTCGCACCTACAGTGTGGCCGCCGACGTGCCGTGTTCGTTGCCCCCAGTGCTCGGCCCTGCGAGAGGGGACATCGCCGGCTCGTTCGAGACAGGCATGGACAAGATGAGGCCATGACGACGTTCTCGACCAGGCGGGCCACGTGTAACTTGCAAGCTGAACGGCAAGGGCTGCAAAACGAGGTGACCAACGCTTGAAACTTCTGTCCCTCCGGACCCGAAAGGCCCTTGGCACATTCTGACACATGCACATTCTGACACGTTGGCCCTTGATGTCTGAGAGGTGCGGGCGCGGAGGTGCGCATGCTACGATCACCAGGCTGTCCTTCTTACGCTGAGCAGGAAAGGGCTGCTGCGATCTGCTGTGGGTTGGCTTATATTGGCTTTGAGAGTGTCACCGAACTGTTGCACGGACGGGTGGTTCGTCTGGACGACCTGGATGCGCCGCTGACTGCGATGGGTTCGAGATTCAACCGAACTTCGGGGGAACTTTTGCAGCTCGGATGCGGCCTGCGGACTAGGGACATCTATAGGGGGACGGGCAACGCTTTGGCGAGTGCTGGTGTAAACGAACCCGGGTAAACCCCAGCAAGGCGGGGACCAAACCCGAACAACGACTTGGGTCGGGAAGTTCGCTGCAAGGGCTGCTGAGTGTGATGCCGGCATGTTGCATGAGCGGCGCTCGGACCGGCGCATCCGAGCTGTCCCTATGTGTTCCTGACTGCAACAAGCTGTCAAAAAAATCTGGAAAGGGGGCGCGTGTACGGCTGTGCGAACTGCTGCTGTCTCGCCTTGCCCGTGGCCCACTAGCCTCTGCGGTCCTTGCCTTTGCCCTTGCCTTCCTTGCCTTTGCCCTTGCGGTCTGCTGGCATCTCATGCGTGTCCGGGGAGATCCAAGACAATTCGCTGGGAATCAGGCCGTTCCTGTGCGATGCAGCGTCATGGAGTCTGATATCCAGGCCTATAGGGCATCACACCCCCTCGGCCGAGTAGCGACAACCCAGCCAGTCGAGGCAAGGTCGACCTACCTGTCATGCTGGTGCCCACAAATCGTTTCCTGTTCGACGTCCTGGTGAACGCCCCGCAATCCTACAGGGCAGTTCGGAGGACGCAGTCTGGCTGCATCAGGGGCTGCCGTTCGGATCGGCTGGATCTGTGTGGAGCTATGTCCGCATCGCAGACGCTTTCTGGTGCACTATAGCCTGGTCCTTTCGTGGGTGGCAGCCGTGCACTTCGTCGACGACTACCGCTTCTTCAGGATTCAGCTCGTTCCAAGACCGTTACGCCTTGGTGGAACTTCACGACCTGCAGCCCCAGCTGAAGCCAGTTCGAAATCCCATTGCAGCTTAACATGGAACCGGCTTGCATTTGTATGCGGATGATTTCATCACGCTGTCAGGCTCGTGCCGATAGTTGCAGGAACCAGGCGTGAGAAGCCAAGAGCTTGCGGCGCGAAGTTCGATGCACATGAAGCCTCTCGGATAGCGGACTGGTGGAAAAGTCCGTAGTGCTAGCGAGCTAGTTCGCTGAGAATACGCAATTTCGCGTCAACTGGCTTGTCGTGTACGTGCGAGCCTAGGGACACGTGGAGTGTAGTGTTTGCCTTTCGATTTCTGCGATAATTTTGTGCAGTCGTCGCATGAACTCATGTTCGTTTCTATGGCTTTGAGGGCCCTGGGTGGAGAGTTTTCAGTTGCCCGCCACTCCCACCCGAGTGAGCCGCGTTGTTCGTACAGAATCACGCTCGCATCGCTTAGCCACGACGCGCCCAGAGCTTGCGGTGTGAAAATCGATGCACACCAAGGCTCTCGGATAGCAGACTGGTGGGAAAGTCCGTAGTGGAGCGAACTAGGTCGCCGAGAATTACACGTCAATTAGCTTGTCTGCTTGTGTGTGTCAGCACTGAGGTTTGGTGGTGGCACCCTATTGTTGGAAAACGATTCTGGTGAATACGCCATCTTGGTATCTGCTGCGGCGCAGCCAGCAAGCAGCTTATGCCACAGAGCAAGATGTTTGTCGACACACGTGCATTACCTGCCGTGTCATGTCGAGGTGCGTCCATCGACATGGGCTGCGGATGGAACTCCCGAAAAGCTCCTGCCGGGTCAGCTTGCGCTGCTCGCTGAAAGAATGCAAGGACAAGATGACATAAGTGCACGTAATTAGTGATCCCCTGCGTTCCGCCGTCTCCACTACAGCAAATGAACCAATGTGCTTCAACCATTCATGTGCTTCCAACGAACATGTCTCTTAGATGAGCCGGCAGAGACTTGCTGGTCAGGTTCCGCCGCGGCCGCGAGGAAGGGTGTGGGGCTTCAAGTATTTTCAGGTTCATCATCTTCGCTAACACTGACACGACAGTGCTGGACAGACTTGGGCGCATGGTCGTTTACTATGGGGGTCCAGCTCCAGGAATGGCTTCAAAACTTGGATGGTCCTCGGCATTACAGGTCGCAGCTAGCAGCTAGAATTCAGGCTTTCGCACTGAAGATTGACGCGGCACTGCGTTGCTTTCGCAGGTACGACGTGCATTTCTCGCAGATGTTTATTTTCACGCCAACGCTTGCTGCCGGTTCTGCTGGCTCGTTTTGTTGATGAAAGGCTCAGAAGTATGAGGCCAATGTAGCTCGACCCAGAAAAGGGTGCATTGGAGTTGGATGGTGTCCTACCTGTTCTCGCTGCCTCGTGCTTGGCAGGTTTGTACTTCTTGCTGTGCCCCGCCCTCGTCAAGAAGAAGCCACTAGTGTGCTTTGTGAGAACCTGCTAGAGTAGCCGGACGAGGCCGCTTTATGACATGGCACTTTGCCGAGGCTGGCTCGCCAGAGCCAACGTGTGGAAGACGTATCGTAATGGCCCCGAATTGCAAGGCTGTCAGCATGGCTGAAACGATCACTGAAGCCTGCACCGAAGAGGCAGGCCTCTACCAACTCCGCAGTCAGAGCACATTCACGAGTCAGCACATTCCAGTCCGTGACACATATGGCAGGAAAAGCAGCTGTGGGACGCTATGAAAGGTCTGGAGCCTGATTGCCACGCGGATGCTATTGCTTGCCGCCTTCACCTGTCAATGGCCCAGCCGGCACGACTTGCTTGGAAACCTTTCCCTTCACACAAGTCCAAATCTTGCATGTCACCGCCAGGCGATTTCACCCTATGCAGTATCGCCTGGCTGACTTGTTAGACACTGCAGTAAGGTTAGAGTGGGCCGTAGATGGCTTATTGATGTTGTTTTGAGGATCCGCTGTTTTTAAAGATCGCTGACTTGGCTGTCTTTAGTGTTCGAATGACGCACACGAACGAGTTATTCCTGAGAATCTTCTGCGCATTAGAGGCTGCACGGATTGTTGTCTCGAGCCAGGCTCCCGTGGAGTACAGCGGCACAGTTTCTGGAATACACGAGGCAGGAGCGTCTCCATGCGGCAGGGACATCGGAAGGGAGGATGCCGAGAAGCGTCCAGGAAGCGACATTTGGTTTCGACCTCTTGCGCTTTGTCACTGAAGCAGGCCTGAACCTGAGTATGTCCAAAGCAGGAGTGTGGGATCTTGTATGTCTGGCAGCCCGAGTGTCAGGAGCTTGCAGTTCTGAAGTTAGATGAGGCATCTCGGCTTTGATTGCAACAGAACCTGATTCAAAGAACATCTCAGCTACGAAGCGAGTCGGAGCGAAGCGCCTGAGCAGCAGGTGCGACAGTCCAAGAAGTATTCCAAGCTGAAGGCAGGTTGCAGCACATGCGCGTCTATGCTTCACGTGTTAATTTCACAGCCGAGGCATACCAATCGACAGGGGAGGCTTTGGCGGCCTGCAAAGAGGGAAAAGCCGATGCCTTTGTTGCTTCAGAACGTGCGCCTCGGTTGCTGTTGGGTTCGAGCATCGAAAGTCGCGTCGGCAGTTGGCAGCCGAAGAGCATCTCGCGCTGGCAGCCCGAGACACCCAAAGAGTCCTTGTCGCAGCGGCTTCATCCTGGGTTCAACTGCTAGCTGCCACTACAGCGGTGCGGCATGTGTCGACCAGAGCTGAAATTTCGTAAGCCGCCATAGCCGCCGAATGGCCGAAGATCCAAGAACGGGCGCATATGAGCGGGAGTACGCAAATTCCCGTGACTCAACATTGAAGCCAAATGCAACCCGCATGCGCTGAAGCGTGTTGAGTCGGACCAGACGGCAGTCAAAACAGCAGATCCCTGTTAGAATGCTGCTGAGTCGCCACTAATAGTTGTCGATAGTGCAATGGCGCCATCACGTGTACCGACACTTAAAAGTTTCCACCATTGCGCCTTTCGGCATCACTGCTCCCCTCGCATTCAGCGACTTGTGCGCAAGAGTTATGGGCCGAGTCCCAGCAATGCCCGGCCCAGGTCCACTTGCCAGTTGACTTGGGCCCATTGGCCGGCGATTCCGGATTCGACCTCGTGGTGGACAGGTATCTCAAGCTGGTTTGGTTCGATGTGATCTGCTGCACGACGCTGCTTTTGCACCGAGACTTGTTCGGCTGACAATGCAGTGGGCATTCGCCCTGATTATCACAATTTGCTTTACTGAGAAACCGAGAAATCCCGAGTTTTCGGGGTTCTTCCGGCGATATGGCTGCACTCTTGAGGGTCCTCCTGTGGGGCAGTGGGCATGACCACCCAACCCCGATGAAGCCAAGCCAAGCCATCCATAGCCAAACTATTTTATGGACTACTTTGGTCAGTTGTTATCCGCCTTGGGCAATGCGAAGCCCCCCCTCAAAGGCCCCATCCGCCAAAACTCCCCCACCTTTCCCTGGAGTCCCCGGCCGGCGCGAAGTGTTACCATACTGGGGCTCTAAATACAAGCCTTTTGAACACGACTTTCGGTGGCAGGGAGGCTGGGGTCGAAATCGAATTCCCCAGCCTGTACCAACACCAGAAAGACCCTGCAAGTTGCGATTCCCCAGTAGCTGGGCGCAAACAAGACCGTGCAAATTGTAGTGCAACACTGACAGACCATAACCCTGCCACAGCCCTGGACATCGCAGCTCCCCACGCTCGGCACAATTGGGCAAATTGCAGATTGTGTTTCCCAAATAGCTTGCACCAGCAAAAGAGTCTGCAAATTGCGGGGGATTCCCTCATAGCTGAAAGCTTGACCCATGACAGGACAGCTCCCCGATAGCATGACTAAAAGACAGCAAAGGATCTTGCAGATGGCAATTCTATGCAAGTCTCCAGTACTTGTACCTGGACGCAAAGCCGAACCTGGAAACTGAAGCTCCTTACTAGCAAACAAGGATTTTGCAATCAGTATTGTTATCATTCCCAAAATTTGCTGCAAATACGGAATGAGCCGGATCTTGCAGAAGCCAGGTCCTTCTTGAAGGACTTGAACTTCTTCGAAAAGCCGCGTCCTTGGTCGCGACGGCACAGCCCCGAGCGCATGTCGACAAGCTCGAAAGGATTGCGGCAAGCGCCAAAGGTGTGGCCTACAATCGACCCAAGGCCAGGCACGCAGTGGCACATGTTATCATGTGCTCACCTCCGGGTCATGGATGATGGGTTGGTGTTGCGTGGTGGCCCGGCGGGTGGTGCCTGCCTCAAGCTGCTTGCCGTGTGCGCCAGCATGCAGACAGGTGGAGTGAAGCCGGATGCTATATCGCACTAGAAAGTGGATGTCGCTTGGGGATCCTATGGGAAGAGCGGGGCAGAGCAGGAGGCAGCTTGATGGGGCATTCGTCTCCAAGCCAGCTTCCACCGTCTCGCATCCGTTTGCCCCTTCCGATCGGATGGTGTGGATTCTTGTTGCCCCAAGCTGAAACCCCAAAGCAGCCTATTCAGGGCCCATTGCACGATTACACGTCGAAGGCCGCGACCATGGTGGGTATCGATGGCATGCGCTTCCTGAACGATCTGTTCGGTGGTATCCGCGGAGGATGCGCCATGGAAGGAGACTCCCACTGCCTGCTTGCAACGGTTTGCAGTGGAGGAGGTGCCGATGTCCCCTTGTTTTTGCTCTACGAACTGTTCACTGGAACCATATCCGTGGAGGCTGCAGCATGCTGCAAACATGACGTCTGACACGATTTCAGATTGAGTCCGTGGAAACAAGCGTAAGTGTGCACGGTGATGTGCTATTGCTGTGCAGTTGGTGAACAAGGACAACCAACAGGACTTGGCATGACAGCGGACATATGTTCGGGAAGCTCCGCGCGTTATTTGCGTTGTGCGAAGGATCTCGCAAGCCTGCTGCTTCGCGTGATCGCAGGGTCCCAGACAGGCTCTGTTGTCAGCTGGCTTGACCGTATTATTATGACAATATATGACAATCAAGTCAAGTAGGATGGACGGTTCAGAAAGCCGTTGACGCAGGTGCCGAATGGTCTGTACTGAGAGCTTTGGAGAGGAATCCGCAGGCGTTCTTTGCTTTGCCTTTTCATTGCAACTGATGCTTCGGTTCTTTGGGAAGGTCTGCGGCTCCATGCCGCAATGGGGCTCAGACGAGGAGTAGACTCTTTAACCTGACCATGAGATGGTTTCCATTCGAACCTTGCAGAGGCGAAGCGCAGCTGGGCGCTTCCAGGCGCTTTGCATTGCGTGTTATTGAAAAGAGCCTACCTTTCTTGTAACCCCTAACTGCCCTAACCGTTAGGCCCTAACTTTGTTTCCAGCCCAATCCTTTGTTTGACTCTTTCTCTGGTCGTTGACTTTGCAATGCACTAGGTCCGTTATCTGGTCTTGTTCTCTGTCACAGAAATCCTTTGATGATGGACCACCTGCAAACAGCCACAGAGATCCGTGAAACATTTGTTTTCCTGGAAAGTCTACCCACCGACTCTCGTGGGAATTCTGTGGACTGGATTTGGGTCGTTTTTTGGGTGAGCGAAGACTATGCTGTCTGACATCGTGTGCTGCTGTGTGCTGCTGAAGGGGTATTCGTTCTCGGGCCTCAAGCCACAAAATAATCATACGTTCGGCACAACAATCAGAGATGTCATGGCCCAGAGTCCCAGAGATGCCCAGAGTTTCCGTCAGAGTTTCTACGATTTTCAAAGTATGTGGTTCAATCCCAGAAATGATGTGCCATCAGAACTCACGGGGCTACACTCACATGGAACTACGTCGGTCACAGAGACAAGATGATTGCAAAGCAAGGCCATCTCGTCGTCATGCCAAACTCATTGGATCTCGGAGGTGGGCACCACTTTGACCGCAACTCCGTTTCGACACTCATGAAGGCCCTCGGCTACGATGGTACTCCGCTGCGTCATTTCGATCGAATGCCGAGGCTGCCTCGAGCAAGCTGAAAAGCATGGAGAAGGCCGCGCCGCGACCGCAACGAAAGGTAGTGAGAAGGACGAGTCAGGCAGTCCGTCCCTAGGCCCTACACTTGCAGGACTTATGCTTCCCGAACTTTGCCGAAGCTCCGCAGAGCCAGACGTCACTGACAATCGAAGATGTCGCAGGCAACCTCAGCCTGGTGCCGTGGTGTTGTAGTCTGTGCGTCGGCTGCGAGGCTTCAGCAGCAACATCCGCTTCCAGTCCCCGCCACTTACGGCTGACGTCAGATGCTGCCAGTAACTTACGCGAAGATGCGCAGCTATGCATTGTGCAGAAGTCGAAGCTGCTGACTGTTGGTTTCGGGAATTACAACTGTCGCTTCGGACACAACATTTCAGCAAAGTTCCCCATTCCTGTTCGAACACGGTGCACAGGTTCCAGGGCATCCAAAATGACAGCGGAAGTTTCTCCGAAGCAACCACTGGCACGTGAGCACCTCAGACGACAAATAGGTCAAAGGAGGCTAGACAATAAGGTATTACAGTATGACCGTCAACCCAGTACTATCTTGACAGGCTTGTCCAAGTACTTGGAGCGCACGGAGGACCTGCCACATCTGTTCTGCGACTCATTAGGCCCGAGCTTTGAGCAAGGCCGTCCGCGAGTAAAGGGTTACTTCAAGACGCTACACTGATCGGTACCTCGCTTGCTGAGAGCTCTTGTCACCAGGACCGAGAGCGAAAGGTGCAGGCCTAAGTGACTACGCACAGCGGAGCAGCAGAAGCAGCAGGGCGGCTGCCTTTTTTGTTGCCTGATGAGGCCCCTGGCCTCAATGCAGTTCGGTCATCTCTGGAGGCCTGAAAGGCTCGTCGAGAATGGGACTGCCCTTCGGTTCCCGAAAGTCAGGTTCTGGCACGGGGCACTTGTGCATGGACCTCAGCCCCAGGCCGAGCAGCTCCGAGAAAATATCAGCTGCAGATGGCAGGCACAGACAGACATTGGTCGCACAGGAATTCAGCGATGTCAGCAAGAGGCCACCGAACCAGAAGCAATCTATGGGCAGATATCTTTGAGATTGTCTGAGAATAGCGAGGTGCAGACAGCGCTGTCCGAAGAAGTCGCGGTCAATCTGAGCATAAATCCCTCCAAGCTGGCACTTCTAGTGTGGTGCCTACTGTTTCGGGATACCTGACGAATGTAAAGTCATTATAGGGGATGTCGTTGCACAGGAGAAGGAGCTTCGGAAAGTTCGAGACGAGGACCTTGTTTCAGCGAGCTTCAAGCGAAAACGGAACTACCCCCCGTGATATTATCGGATCTTGACCATCGCGGAATTCAGACAACACGCAGGACAGAAGAGCGTTGTCGGAAACTGTAGACAGCCTGGTGACTGCCGCAAATGCCGGCAGTGACGTGGACTGGTTAGGAAGGCCGCTGCCAGCAGCGATGGATTGAAGCAGACCAGTTCTCCAGCGAGGCACTGCGGACATGTTCCTCGACTTGCTTTCTCTGATCTCCTCCGAGTCCTCATGGCAGAGGACTTCGAGAAATACTGCATACGTTCTACGCGAGTGATCGAGGATGCAAATCCCACGCTCGGTTTTTTGGCTGAGGAGCCTCACAGCACGGATGCACTTCAACGGGCAAATCCCATGCTGAAAGAGGCACCGAGCTGTCCATGATCTATGAGCCCATCTGCCAGCCTTGACCACCAGAGTAGCATAGCGTGGCCATTGTCTAGTGGAAAATTGGACTGGAGCTTCAGGGTGACATGGAGGCCTTGATGGAAAAGGCCTTTGGCACACGGGTGTTCTCTTCCAGCTCGTGCTGTTCTGTTTGTTTTTCGGCAGGCTGTAGATGGTCTCTGTCGTGGTGTGCGGATCGGCCAGGCCGTCGGCACAGATGCTCTCAGCGGGAGCAAGCGTGGGTGCCGGCACGGCAACTGAGGCTTGCAGAAGCCTCGCCTTGGTGACCAAGCTTTCAGCAGCTGCTGCCACCAAGGACAAAGGGATGCAAAGGGCATAGACAATTATAGTAATGCAACATAGTGCAACCATCCTACGATGCAGTCTCGAAGAAAGCAGGCCACAGCATAGAGCTTCCCCTGGCCTGCCGGAGGACAGCACAGAAGTGGCTGTGCTCCAGGTTTGCGACCTTGGCTCGCTGTCGCTGGCTGTAAAGGCTTTGGAAGGCTGTCTGCACTTCAGGCTCAACTTGCAGCTCAGCTTTGCGCGGCTGGCACCTAAAGCGACAAAACGCCTTAAAACGACTCCTGCCTGCCTGGACCGTTTGGGCCGAGGAGCGCTTCTTCTGCAAAGTCCGGAGCCAGATGATCTGCGTGCTCCCGAGTTCGTCCAGCTTCTAGCAAGACAATGCTTTGAATGTTCTTTGCAAGCAAGGCTTGGACCCTCGTCTTCTCGTTTTTGAGTTCCTGTGCAACATTATGCTGCGTGAGGGCCAGGCGCCGGCACTCATTCTTCAAGCCATTTCGAGCCTTCTTCCTCAAACTGAAGCCTCCTGAAGCCACGAGGTGAGGCTTTTGGGAACCTTCCTACACCGTGCAGCAGGAGGCACCACGCAACACAGCACAGACACCAGCCGTGGTTGCACCAGGCAGCTGCTCTGAGGCCAGTCCCTGTGCCATCAGATGATCATGGGCGCCGGGAAAACCACTGCGCTTTGCGCTGCAAGTTGGCAACAGTCGCGAGATGTCGCAGGGGCGAGTGCTCAGTGTCCGACGGCTTCAGGTGATAACGCCTCTTCTTGTGCTGCTGCTGGCGACCAGTCAACGGCTCCTGGACTCAGAACACTTCAAGACTCATGGGCCTTGCTGTAGTTCTACACCGATGACTTGCCGTGACCAGCACTGGCCCCGTTGCATGCGAACAGTTCGCTGGCGAAGTCCAAACGGAAAGGCGTTTGTCACATATCTCATGCTGACCGCGGCCAGTGAAACGCATTGAACCGCGCTGCTCATGCTGTGCAGCCAAGGCTGGTTTGCGCTTGCATGCCTGCTGCTCTACTGGAGATGTCACGAGCGGTCCTGATCGAGCGCTTCTCCTCACCAGCGGCTCGGCTCTGCTTCTGACTCCTCCGAACTTCAGTGGCAGCGCCAAGTGTCAAGGCTATGATGAAAGCCGTGCTCACTCTGCAGTTTGACAGGGTTGGGAGCCCAAGTTCCAGACTCTCACAAGCCCTTCTCTGGGGGCTCTGACCAAGGCGACGGTGCCATCAGCTGCACTTTGCCAAAAGCTTCTGACAGCAGAGCAAAGACAAGCTGCTTTGGCCAAGTCCTGAGGACACGTCGGACACAACCGCAACAAACGCTCGAGGATTTCATGAGTGAATGGGGGGTTACGAAGTCATGCATCTACGCCAACACCAATCTGGCCAATGCTGCTCTTTGGTTTTGTTTGGGAACATGTCAACCTCTTCACACCGAGCCGGCATGCGTGTCCTAGATGGCAGTGTGGGTGAGCGGGCAGCGTGGGTTCAGCAACACTGCCATCTGCAGGTGGCAACTCCAACGGTATGGGACTTGGTATCACGGTGCAGTACATGCGACCTGTTGGGACAGCTGTCGTCCATCAGTCTTGTCATCTGGTCTGGAACGTCAGCTGGCAAAGGCCTAAGCTACGTCGGCATGTTTTCCGGAGTGAGGACCGATGGCCTCGATTCAGTCGTCGAATGTCGAAAGCTCCAGCAACCAGCTTGTGACTTGCGTTACCGATCTGTTGAGGCCTTGAAAAGCATCGTTCTCAAACGGCTCGAGTTGCTGAACCAGCTGGACAACAGTCGCAGGCAGCAGCAGACTCTGTGGCCTTGTGGGGACTGGGTGGGCCTCCCACTCCTGCAAGGTGCAAGCTACAGCAGGGTGATGTCAGACTCTGATTGGCCTGCTTGAATGACATATCGAAGCTATGAACTATGAACCTGGTGTTTCTCACTGTGCTGTGAGGCGAAGCCCAATTGGCTTGAGCGTCTCTTTGGGGGGGGCAAAGCCAGCTTTGCTGATGAGTTGAGTCACGGTCCTAATCGATCTGTCCCATCTGCACATGCTCGAAAAACTCTTTGTCAAGCCCAGGTCCTGAGGAAGAGAGCGCAAAAAGCCAACATGTGCAGCATTGCAATCAGGCGAAACCTGTCGTGCAGCATTGGGCGTTGTGAAGCCTCTCCGCTTCGGATCTGTACCTCTGCGAACCCCAACCACTCAATCAAAAACAACATGGGACATTCGCAGATGGTACCGAGCATGGGCTGTGTACACTTCGGCCGTGACATGTGTGGAGGTACTGGGAAGATTTCATAAAGGTGTGCTTCTTCTGGATGAGGTGCGAAGCCATCCGCAGCTGCCAAATGCTGCTCCAACTTACAACTTGTCTTGTGCAGGTGGATCTGCTGCGGGAGCCTTAACCACAGGCCCGGTGCCTTCTTTGCGGAGCCTAGAAGATGCAGGTTGGATCCTCTGAAGAGTCCGGCGCACAGACCACAGACCAAGAACTCACAAACTTACAAACTGTTCGTCCGCAGGTGAACTCAACTGGCCGACCGGTTTGAAGCAGCCGCCGGTATCTTGCGTCGTGAGCACTTGCGAAACAAATCCCCATGCACCGTACTCCCAGGCTTGACCTCGAGGAGGCCAGGGAGAGCAAAGACCGTTTTGGTCGCATACTCAGAGTCAGAGCCACGAGGAGACGGCAATGCTAGCACTCGAGAGATTTGCGCAAGGTCTGCGCCACAAGCTCCCCTTCCACATTTTGGACCTTGTGTTCGCCGCATCGTGCAAGGTGTCATGCCTTCTCTAGGTCTTGCTGGGTGATGCAAGATACGCTGAGTAGTACATTCACTGTTTGGAAGGTTCCCCTGGTGCATTACGACGACCGCCGCGAGGTTGCCTGCAACATAAGGATGATATTGAATTCAAAATTATTGAATCAAAACGCAGTGACAGTGCAACTAATGTTGACGTAGCTGTATTGAAATCAGTTAATAAAAGTGAGCCTAAATATCATGCATTAAAGGTTAGTAATCATGTTAAAGATGCAACAACAACTACAATTGAATTTGGTTATGATGATATGTTTAATGATTCACCAATGTCACCTAAATCTCTAACATATCCAACTCCATCTTATATTACCAAAGATAAAACACCTGTAATATGTCCAATTAATACAGCAATATATACTATTGATGAGAATGCAACACAGTTTGAATCACCAAACACAAGACCCTACACACTGATTACACTCGTAGGCTCTAAAGCGTGCATATGTGCGCGAGGCCCAGACCGCACTGACTGCGCTGAAATCAAAAATCGAGGTGCCAGCGCCATCGTGTTACGCGTTGGGATGCGCTATGTTAGGTCGCAAACGGCGCTCTCGGCTTGTGCAGTCGCAGGAAGGCTGCCAGAAGCGGATGTTGCAGTCTGTTCCGCATCTCGTTGACCTGCACTCAGATTGTGATCTGCAGCTCTGAAGCCGTGAAAAGCTTTGCCTCCTTGCTTACATGCTGTTTTAGCATCACAAGCTGTGCTAGGTGCTGTCGAAGGAATTTTACAAGTCGGAGATGCTGCCACACTTGGCAGACTGGCGGGGTCCTTGGGTACAACTTCGACCGCATGGCAAAGTTTGCCTTCACGCAAGGACTGCGATTTTCCTCGAAAAGCACGTGAACGGCCAGGTGGGCGGCAAAAGATTTCAGGAGTTCAGTGCTTGAAAAAGCCCGCGGAGGGGTGCTCAGGGTGCCCGGCTGGGGCTGTTTGTGGCATTCCATGAGTTTATGGTGATCGGGGAACAGGATAGTCGGGCGGCTCGGTTCTGCGACCTTGTGGATGGGGGTTGTGCGGACATTCGAGCTTCAGAACCCAATTGCAATTTGAGCGGGCTGCAGGGCAGGCTTGCAGAGTGTTCACAGGAGCCGGCAATTGGCCAGGCTCGGCTTGTCCCTCTTGAAAATATGGGAAGCCACGGACGCAAAGGTGAAAGTAAGATACGTGGCGAACAGGCTTTCAGGATACAGGCCGGAAAGCCCGTCAAGCGGATTCGGGGAAAAGCATGAAGAGTAAAGTCAGGCAACCCTGCCAGTGCTCTCCAAACCTTATGCTGAGAAACAGGGAACAACCCGGCAAAAATCACGAAGAGAAGTTCAATAATGTTTTTCGACATTCGAAAGATGCCTTCGGTAGAACAGTGGAAACCATAAACTTATGAACGCCTGAGGATATTAGTGGTATCCAAGTATGAGGCATGTGCAGAGTCGTGTAGAAAACTAGCTCGAAGGGTTGTGGTATCCAAGTATGAGGCATGTGCAGAGTCGTGTAGAAAACTAGCTCGAAGGGTTGAGCATGGTTGAGCCTGTTTCATGTGGTCTACTCGTGGTGGGTGCAGCCCATCGACGTCTGTATTTCCTGAACTTATGAAGCTTGTCTGGTTTTCTTGACGGGCTCTCCAGCGCTCTTCATACATCTCTCAAGAGAAGCTGTTCAACGTGTTGTGGGGGCTTTCGGTATTCTCGACCTAGCTGTGTATACAGGGATCAAACTGTAAACAAAACTGGGTGCAGACCGTCTTCGCGAACATGAGCCCGACATCACAACGCGCAGCTTATCGCAGCTTCCCACTCTCGATGTTCGAAGAGTGGTCTTCCTGAGTGGACCGGAGTTCCGCACAAGTTCCGGCCGTTTCCATTCCATGGCAATGGTAGTAAGTTTAGCTGTTCAGAGCCGCGTCCCAGAAAGGAGAGCGAAACACATCCTTCAAATTATCTTCGAATCTTGAAATCACGCATGTCCAGGGTGGTCTTGTCAGCATTGGATTTTCTGTTTCGCTGGTGTCGTTGTCCTCTCTCTCGGGGCTGGGAGGATAGGACCAAAGTAGCGGTCGAATTAGGAACAAAGCTTTTGCACGTTCTTGGAGCCGTCGAACTCAAACAAGTCAGGGACCGCCGTGTGTATTCAACTGTGGCTCAGCTGCACGCAGCTCTGCTACAAAGCACAATTAGCGGTGCCCCATGTTGCCTTAGTGTGGGCCCGTTACCACCCACTCTTGTCGTAAGTTGAGCAAAGCCGGTATTGCTGGTCCTGAGACTCCTGCACCTTTGCAGTTTTGCAGTTTAGCAGATGCCAAACGGCTGCAGTGTCGACAGATGTTCGGATGCGGCATCGCTTGGAACACTACCGGCCCGTTTGTTCTCGCTGGGGGCCTCAACATGGGCTCGTGCCGTGGTTTTGCAGGTCGGAAGCACTGAGCTGCGGCGACTCCTACGCAGTCCGTACAAGTTGGAGGAGTCTGAAAGGATCTCAAGGGGGTGTCTGTTTGGGCGAGATCTCACAAAAGCAGGACGGGATCAAGGAGAAGCTCCGGGTTGCAGATGATGGGGTCTTGAAGCCTGTCAACTTGGCAGTTGAGTGGCCTTAGCCTGAGCTGCTGCACATCCACGATGCTGGATGCCACGTAACTTCGAAAAGCCTAAGGCTTCACGAGCTTCTTCCGCACGTTCTGAGCAAGGAATTCCCGAGCAGAAAGACGAATGTGAAGAATTTACAACGTCCACAGCAAGGGAACTTTAAGTCGTGCAGGTTCATCGAGTGTCATATGGCCTTCTGTGCGGGGAAGACCTGGAAAGCAGTTGCCTCCGTCGGTTGCGAGTGACTATCTTCGAAACCTTGGTGGTCGTGACTCTGGCGTGCGCGTGGATGTGCTAGGTGCATTGAAGCAGCGTGGGACCGCTCGCTCCAGGCTGAGGCAAAGTACCCACAGCAGGCAATCAGTGCAGAAGAAGCGGAACCCCCACTCTGTGAAGGCTGGCTGTGCCTTTCGTGGGAAAAGATCGCCCTAGTGAGCAGTTTGGGCCTCGACTTGGGCGATAACAGGCGCAGTCTTCCGACCCGATCATTTGCACATCCCTGCAATTCCCTGCACACCGCACACCGTACAAAGACCGCTGAGGTCTGAGTTTTCACATCCAGACGTCACCATCGGCGCCTTGGTCCAAAAAAAGTGCACCAATAGAAGAGACTCGTCGTGGTACAGGCCCGTAGCCGCCCGCAGCCGCCAGGCTTTACCATCTTGGCCTACCGTTTCACTGGCCTCCGAGGGCCGCCCGAGGCGGTTTCCGCCTTTTGACAGCCGATGTGTTGTGAGTCTCTCCCTAAGAGGCAGGCGACTTGCGAGAGCTCCTGAAGGCGAGTCACCCGATGGCTTAAAGCAGCCAAACAGACCTCGTTCTCAGGCGCTGCTTGACGAAATGAAGATTGAAAGCACAGCCCATGGCCCAGCACTGGAAGTCTCTATGCAGCCAGGATCGCAGAAGACTTTGCTTCGCGAGGTTCGCTACCATCGTCGAGCAGCTTGCTTGTCTTATGTGAACATGGTCTGCAAGGTGCCGGGTGTTGATGTAAGTACTGTGCAAGATGTGAGCCATCCGCGAGTGGTCGAACTAGATGGCTCTTTTATGCTGCGCTAGGCTGGGGCACTCGTGCACAGCCCTCAGACAAGCATGCATCCAAACCGCAAACAGCACACAGCGTACTGTATCTCTTAGACTGAAGGCGGGGTTTCAGCTCCAGTGGAACATGGCTTGAGGATGTAAAAGACAAGGTGCATGGCAAGCAAAGTTGGCAAACTGCTGCACACTTGTTCGCCGGGTATGTTGCCAGGCCGTGCGACGAAAAACTGGTCTTCAGGACCGCGCCTGTTCGCCCAGATGGTGCAGACGATCATCTACCGTTCTACCTAACTGTGAGAAGCTTTATGAGGTGACTGAGGATGTCGCTAAAGAGAGCAGGCCGGGCCATAAAATTGTGCATTCTGCGAAACATGCGTCACACCTGGTCTACGCATGTGTGCCAGTAAAGGCACCTGCACAGTGTTTTGATGCTGATTCGATGTTTGTTCGTTGTCTCGTCCTCGTCCACGAAATTTGAAGCCTAAGCCTTGAAGCCCTTTAGTTAAGCATTTAACCCTAAATCCCCAAAACACTTAAAACCCAACCCTTGGCCCTAAATCCTTAAATCACCTCAAGCCTAAACTCTTGGCATTATCTAGTATTATTAAAGCCCTAAACCACTATGCGGAGCCTTGCCGGCCTTGTGTGAGTGTGAGAGTCGAAACCACTTCAACCCGAAACCCTTGACCCTAAATCCCTAAAGCTGATGTGTGTCCATATGGTTAGCCTCGCCTGTGAGCTTTGTTCTCTGCCATGCGAGAGGGGAACAATGCCTAAAGCCCAAAACCCGAGACCATTATATCCGAATCCCACTACATCAGTTTTAAATCCTGACCTCTTTTCTGCCTGCCTGGTCGCTGTGTGCTTTTGCTTCGGTGAAACCCGGCCTTTGCAACAGCCATTGTCTGTACGACCCCAGAGCTGTGCCGTGTAGGCCTGAATGGCCGTGGACTTCGACGTTTTTCTGCGTTGGCAACACACCATTGCGGTCAATCACACCATGCATCCCGCTGCACGCTTCAACCTGCAGTCTACATAAGACGTTACCTTTCTTGGTGGTGGAATTTCTCGTGAACTAGCTGCATGATGCACCGATTGGCTTTGACCTTGACTGCCCGCCTACGCACGGTACAAGCTGCAACAGTGGTGTGGGTCGTACTGGTGTCGGGCACGCTCCACCCGAGCAGATAGCAAAATCGGTGGACGGCCCAGCAGGATCTGCGGCTTGCATGTGAGATGATTGTTTCGGATACGATAGACGATAATCTTCCTGTGAGCCAACTTGAGAATAGTCTTGATGTGAGATCTGAATGTCCCAAATTTCCTGCATGAAATTAGTGACTAGTAGCTGCCGACATCGATGGCTTTCGTGAGATCCTTGGTTTCGGATGCGATAGCCCACCTGTGAGTGCAAACTGGGCAATAATCTGTCGGCATGGAATTTGGAACTGGCTGCATGAGTTCGTGATTTGTGGCTGGCAACATTTTTACCTAGATCGATGGAGCTCCTGCCTATGAACAACCTGGACTGTAGTCGACGCGTCTTCTGAGAACTGCCCGTAGTGCCAATTCGTATATTTCGTAACTGGCTTCATTAACTGGCAACAAAAATTGGATGGACACTGCAAGGGTATTCTTTCCTGCACGGTGGAGGCGAGAGTGTCAAATCCCGTATACTTTTGGGTCTGCTGGATTTGATGATGCGCTGTGCTGGGATGGATGCTGGAAGTTTGCACGGCGGGCCGTTGATGTGAGAGACGTGAGTTGTAGATGAAAGTCTGGTGTACTCACTAGCTCTGTTTGTCAGCTTTTTGTTTTCCTCGAAAGGTGACTGGATTCTGCGAGCGAAGTTCCGGTCGAGTGCGCGAAATTTGACTCCTAGTCGACAAGTGCCTTTGAATCGAATGGAGTTCACTGCTGAAAGCCACGGTTGTATAGAACCCTTGTTAACGTCTTCGCGATAGCTAGGTGGGAGGCAAAAAGTCCTTAAACAAAATCATAAGGAGCTGAACTATTGGCCAAGCTGAGACTTTCGGCTGACGTTGCAGGATGCATCAGGATGCTTTCAGGCTCTCAAGCTTCCAAATCCTGTGCTATCTAGGGCCGCCCTCGGAATGTGGATTTGATTTCCGTGTGTTATGATCCAGTCAATCGACACAACAGAAAAGTTCCCCGCATATGTTCTCGCAGTCAAGGGAGACTGGGAACGTTGATTTGCATTGTGCCTCGGCATCCGGCTGAAACCCTTTTCCCGAACTCACACTGTCCTTCCCACCGTGCTTCTTTTTGCACACGTCCTATGTGCCAACACTCGCCGATGCCGAGCAGTCTCAACAACTGCAGAGCCGGCACGTGCTGCACATGCACGTCATGTATGAGGTCATGTTGGCGTGTTTGAGTTTGATGTTGGTTGCGACCTACAGCAGCAACCTTGGTTGTTGGTCCGGCTGTTTTGGCGATTGTCCTGACTTCGTGGCTGCAGCAACCCCGCCCTGCCGCCTTGGGGTGAAAGATCTGTGGAATTGTCTTCGCCAGTCCCGCAGAATCCCTCAGAAGCGTCAACAAAAGCATGGCTTTGCATGACTGTGCTGTGCTATTATCTCATGGTCAGAAGTGCTACGGAGAATCCGGATTGTCCCGTTTGGGAAGGTCCAGCCTTTGGCCGTTGGAAATCTTGGATCTTGCAGATCCAGTGCATCTCCTGGCCAGAAGAACGCAAATACTTCCGCAGCAGTCAACATATCCGTGCTAAGGAGCAGATGCGGGCAGTGTACGATGTGGTCTGGGAGTCGCCTTTGGCTCTGGAGTACCTCTTTGATCACTCCACCTTCTTGCCTGGTGCAGGCTTGGGGAGAACCACTGCCACTGCAAGCATACACAGTCCGGGCACGCACGTCTCGCCGCGGAAGGCATCATCGATGTAAACCCCAGCCAGTACATGGCCTGCGGCCAGGCGCAGCGCATGTGTTGTGCAGCCGCTGCTAGTCGCCGCTATCCTCGTTCTTCATGGCAAGTTGAGGAACTCGCCGGTCACCAGTTATTTGGCTTGTGCTTCGGCTTCAGCGGTGCGCCACCTCCAACTCTTGAAGCAAGCAGCTTGCAAGCACCTGCAGCACACAAGCTGCTGCTTGTCCCGCGCAAGGAACACCGAACGACCTGCTGCCGCAGGACGGATCCTCCTCGCGGAAGCGGAAGAATCGGAACCAATTCTGTGGCCAGGCGATGGGCAAGTGTGCATATGCAGAAGGCACAGCTTTGCCTCGCCACCTCACGCTGCCCCGTAACGCCGATGTCCTCCGCGCCCCTCCAGGCGACGACGGCAAAATTCTGAACACCCTCAGCAGGCCCGAGGCCCCCGCCGCAATTTGGCAAACTCGGACAGCTGGAAAGCAGCGCATGCTTTGCCGAACCTGTGCCAGGTGGTTACTGTGCAGGAGGTGGATGCTTGGAGTCCTCACTCGCTGTTGGATTTCATCGCGAAGGCGATATCTTCAGATGGAAGGCCTGCATTGCATGTTTTTCGGTTATCACCAACAGAACTTGGTTCGTGTCTCGACAGGCCGAAATACCACGCACTAATTGACACCGGTGCCCTCATCACAGGAATGACCAACCGCGAGGTCGGCAGGGCTGAGCATAGGCATATTGCAAACACATACTCGTTGCTGTGCGGCTGGTGCAGCTAGACTCTAGGCTCTAGGCTGATGTGTTTTTTCCGAGGTGGCCACGTATCTCCTCCAGAATGGGTTGAAAGGACTGGAGGGCGTCGTGTTGAGCTCAGCTTCACATTCCTTGGAGACGAGCCCGCACTAAGAATGGTCGAAAACACTGACATTTGGTGTTTTCGCGACGGTTCAGGGTAATGCATCCTGTCCGTTTTCGCAGCATTACGTCACGCTTGGTAAGAGGAAATTGAAGTAATCTCACAAAAAAGCCCCTCGGGAGCATACTGGCTGGCTTTAGATTCTGCATACGCCGGACTTCCATGGATTTGTGGGCCACCCAGAAAAATAGAGAGTAGGGCTTCGGATAGGAATCCATTTCTACAGCATTTAGTAGCAGTGGTTTTGAAGAAGAGCACTGGCATTTTGTTTTGGCAGGCCTCACAATACCAGTCAAAGTACCTCGACAGGTATAAACCACGACGAAAAAAGAAATGCTGGCCGGCTGGCCAATCTTGCATGTCAGGTATTCTTAAACAGCCTCGACGAGCGCATGGTTCTTCTGCGCATCAAGCCCAGTGAAGGGCTGTTACTTCATGCACTGGACATCAGTCTTCAGTAACTGAACTGTTCAGGAGACGGAAAGGACGTGTCCTTATCGCAGTGGGAAACTCAGTTATGTCTCCCCATGTTAGTGGTTTAGGTATGATCAACGGCAAACCTGCAGAAAATAAACAAAAAGGTATGATCAACCCCACTGATCTCTCAGGTGTGGGCTGAGTTGGGAGCGAGCCTGAGCTGTTTGAGCCGTCCGGTGTTTGAGATTCGTTCGCGTCCATGTTCGCCCCGAGGAGAACAGGTTCTCCTTCTACGATCATGTGCACACCACAGGTGTGCCTTGACACACCGACAATGTTGGCAGGGACGTGGAAGCTGGAGAGTGGTGTGTGTGGTGTGACAGGCATGGACATTAAGCAGCCAATCAAGTGCACAGCATGCCACTCGGGACCCGATACTCGGCTGCAGACGACACTGTCTTTCTGCTCCTTCAGGCTTGCCTCACACTAAGCAAAGACATGACATTCCGCGACTATGCACAAGGCTGGGCACAGAACTCAGAAGTGATCCGTAGCAATCACGCCTGCGACGAGCTGCATACTTGCACCTGGGAGGAGCCTACAGGATGCGAGGAGTCGGCTAGCCCCTTGGAACCTTTGGGTGTGTACAAGAGATGCTGTGGGAGACGGGACCGCTATGTTTGGCAGGTCAGGGTCAGTGCATCGAGATCCTGTTGATTCCTGAAGTGGCGCAACAAGCCTATGCTTTTGCAAGTCTTGCTCGTGATCCTTAGGATGTGTGTATTTTCGTGCAGAGGTCTTTGGCCAACAAGGTCCTTGCAAAAGCTGAAGGCAGCTGCATCCACAAATACGAGGCATAAACACGTATGCCTCTGCCAGCTGCCGAAGGCGTGGATTCCTCACAGCGCATCAGCCGCATACGATTGGCCAAGAATTGGGAACAGCAGATTCTTGTGCCATCCTTTGAATCAAATTCTCGTGCACATGCCTCAAGTTCTTGTCAGCTCCAGGTTGATATCATCGGGTGGTTGATTGTGAATGGTCTCGTCAAGGACTTCTGCAGATGGCGGTCAGGAAGAAAGAGAGAGTGAGTGAGTGAGTGAGTGAGTGAGTGAGTGAGTGAGTGAGAGAGGGCGAGCCCCTAGCCCGACAAAAGAAAGAGAGAGAACAATAGCAAAGAGAGAGAGGCTTGCAATCGGTATGACACATATCGGCTTCTAGCGGCGTCCCCGGGAAAACTGGACATACTGGACACTCGTTTTACGCCCCTGCACAAGGCCCGCAAAAAGCGGGTGGGCCGGGCCTGACACGCCCCTTATGTCCGGGAGAGAGAGAAAGACCAGAGAGGGGTGCGGGCAACAGCCATTGCCACGTCTATAGGCTTGGCCACCTGCAGAACTACGGACCCGCGCCTAACAGGTGGAACGAGAGACGAGTTTCATTGTCATCCTGGTTTCGTATTAAAGTAATGTAAACAGTGTAAGCCGTTAGTTCTACCTTGAGACAATCGAGGACTTGAAGAAAAGCCGTTTGTTGTGCCAGCTGGGCACTTTGGATGGACTGCGCCGGTGCGTGTGACACTCTGTTGCAACCGATGCTTCACTCTGCTGGTGAGTCTTGCAAGGCAAAATGCCAGAAATTTGTGGAGACAGTACCAGCCTCATCATCACACATGTGTGCAATTGCGCAGCAGATATGGACGGATGACGGAGCAGGCACTTGGAAGAGTTTGGTATCGGTGGCGTACGGCTACAAAGGTACGCAACAGCCCACTTGGAAAGTGCTCCGTACCATCCCTGGCCTCTGCTGATCTCGTTGTCGGAGAAGTACTGTGAGAGTTGCATACTGAGGTCTGATGTGCACAGATGGCTGAAGGACAGCAAGACGAAAACTTGCTTGGATTGCCTGCTTCACTCTTAGAGCACACGTGCTTTATTGTGCTGAAGCAAATTGCCCTCTCAAGCACAGAGGCGAAACAGAATTGATTTCACCGTTTCGAACGCAGCTGCCGCCTGAAATGGTGCTGGGGCACTGGGGATAAGAACGGAAGGATAATAGTACGAGCGGCTCCTTGAATGATGCAAGGTGCCGGGCAGTCCACCCCAGCCGCTGAAGGAGAAGCTGGTTCAGGACCGGCTCCATTGTCCAACGTGCACTGGCGTTTTAGTGATGCCGCCAAGCATGTGTTACAGAAGTCATTTTCAATGTGACTTCTCCTTTAGTTGACGGAATGTTCGGCGCTGACGAGTCGTTTGATTTCTGTATTTGCACCATGGGGTAGGAGCCTGGGTTCGCCTCCCATCCTCTCCGTTTGAAAGTGAGTCGATGAAGATGCAGAAGCGACAGCAAAAGCAGAGGTGCAGGCAAGCATGACAGTTGCTTGCAAGTATTACGTATTCCATATTTATATGAATATGTATATCTATGTCTATATTTTATGTATATATGTTCTTATATATATATATATACATATTTTGATCGACTGATACAGACGAGCCCACTGATTTTCTGGCAGTCCTTTTGGATTAGGCAGCATCGTGACACGAACTCTTGCACGGTGGAGACCCTTATCCGCAGCAGGAGTTTGATGCCATTCGTCGTGCACGCCCCAGCGTTTCAGAGAAGACTGGAGCTGCTTTGGTGACTCCGGGCGAGCAAGGGCCATCAGTCAGGCTGGGAAGGGCCCAGGGCTTGCGGCCTGCTCTCCAGAGCCAGAGGATCTCTTTCCATGACGCTGCCGGTGCACGAGTTGATGCGGTTCCTTCAGTTCCAGCCTGGTGTCTTTATTCCATCGGCCTTGTTTGACCGGAGTCGATTGCACAGGGGCGGATGTTTGTTTGATAGTCCTCCAATCGTGATCTGCGTGACGTCTTTCCCAGTATGTAGCTTGAACCAGGACCTCTGGAAGTGGCACCAGCGTGCGGACAATTTGAAAGGACACCGGGCAAAGACAATGCAGCCTGTTGGATGGCACGGTTGTGCAAGGTCCAAAAAGCCTCAACATCCACCCAAACAGGCTCGCAGAGTTCCCACAAGCGCTCCAACCCCAAGAACACGCAATGCGAGCAAGAGCCGACGGCCACGGTCCAGGGTTTGGGGCTCAGGGCATGGGTTTGGGGTTTGGGATGCGCCCAGGAAAGACCCGATCCTTCATGACGGATGGAAGTCACTAGATGGAAAATCCAAGTGTCAGAGCCTGTGCGATCCGTGGGGATCATCTTGCGATGCAGTGTGAGCCCCGTCAAAAACACATGCCCACCAGCGCTCTTCTTCGACGTGCTCTTCAAGCACGCCTCGGCTGATAATGCCAAGCTGTCCTCGGGATATCAACGAAAACTCCCTCCCATCACATCATGCGGCATCTTGTGGCCAACCGCTGATTTTACTTCTTTCGATGAAATGAACAGCTTTGTTAAACGCAGTTTTTTGGTTGTCTATGCGGTGGAAAGCCTAAAGTGCCACAGGCAGCTTGTCATGCGACATGTTGAAACCACGCTCTGTGCCGAAACACGTCAGCTACATGGGGTTAAGCATGTGCTGGTTTGAGTGATGGTGGCCTCCCGGGGACTATCGCTGACTCCGGATTCGCCACTTCCATCCCCGGCTTCGGCACGCAGACTCGGAGACCCGCAGACGCTGGCAGAGAGTCTGAGAGACGCCTTATTCTTGAAAGAGGAGTCTTACAGGGTGCATCCGTCCTTTGAATCGCTGTGTGTCCCTGCAAAGTCGGGCGTGATTGCACTCCTCCCATAGCGTCCGACATCGGCATGCAATCACAAACTGGGACAGTTGCATCAACATAGGACGTATTCCTACATCTGTAAAGAGATGTCGAACAGCTCGTGATGTTTGAGTGTTGGCATTCTTGTGTGGCTAAGGTGATGGGCATGTTTGGAGCGAAAGCGTAGTCCACGAGGCCTGTGCAGTTCTGCACCTGTGGAGACGTGTATACGGTCTGGTCCTGTCTAAATGCAGCGCTGAGGTCGAAGCGACATTCCAGGGCATCCTGGCCTCCTTGTCGTACCTCGCCCAAAACAGACTTGGGATCGCATCAAGTGACGAGACCTCGCTCGCTTCCTTCCTGGAAGGCCGGAGATGGAGAACGAGAGCATGGAGGGCGGCCTTGAACTCGATGGAGAGCAGGCGCCGGACAAGGAATACAGTCCCCTCCCACTCCCTGACCTTTCGACCCTTGCCTGTTGCTGGACGGGTTTTGGATGGTTTTGGTCTTGTGTTGCACCCTCTATATAGCTTTTGCAAGTGGTATATTTCTGGCTTTTACCATTACATGCCAGTGAGTTCGCTTATTTTCTCACTCAGTTGTATGGATTGCCAGCAGCTGACCCTTCTTTTCTGTGGCTCATGTCATCTGATGTCATCTACCTGCTCGTGCTCGGCCTGGGTGATCCATCCAGGAAGCCATTTCGGAAGATTGCAACAGACACGTTGGTTTGCAAGGTGCAAGAGCAGGAGCAGGAGCAAGAGCAGGACATGCGATGCAAAGTGCGGTCGTGACACTTTGCGCGTTTTCAGCCTGGCTGTGACGTTGGACATTTTGGCGGCTTTGCATCCTGCCTAAGTGGAGGAGCAGGAGCAGGAGCAAGAACAAGAAGAAGAGATGGAGATAGAGCAGGAACAAGAACAAGTGCCAGAGGCCTGCGCGGTAAATCAGACGGTAAATCAGACGCAAGCAAAGGCATTCAGCCCACGTCTGCAGGCTGCTGCCAGGCTTCAGTATAGCCGAGAAGATGAAGCGCCCAAACCGCTTGCACCTCGGCTTGCGGGGAGTGCACCGCCAGAAGCTCGGTGTCCAGGTGGCTGCTCAGGGCCTTGACGAAGGACTTGGCCGCTTCCGGGCTGCCGTTCTTTCCACTCACAGACTTCGTGCAGCCCTCACTCTCAGAATCTCTGCAGGATCTCTTCTGTTTGATCCGATGTTCCTAGGCAGTCAACAAAGGACTTTTGGGTGGCCACGCCGAACCATTGAAAGGCTGGGCACAGAGCAAATTTTCCTATTACATGCGATGCTTGAACAGTCTTACTGCAACATGCTGCAACCAGATTCGAAGAGTCGACTCGAAGAGTTTATCGGAACTTTATCTGTCATTCGAATTTCTGCGGGGAGGGTGTGCTGCATGACGAACTCTGTGACTGATAGCGCCCATTTGGCCCAGCAATGCTACAAGAATCAGGGTGGATCACAATCCACCCCTTCCCTTTCACGCTGCACGGCTTTCGTGTTGATGTGTGCAGCGGTTGATCTCTTGCCCTGGTAGCGCTCAAGCCTTCCAGCTTCTTCGGACCCTCTTCAAGGCTTCTGAGTCTGCTTCTACCGGTATCCACCAGAGTTGAGACTTGCTCGCAGGCAGTACTGTATGCTACCCCTGCACAAAGCATCATATAATTACTCACGATGCTGAACTTGCAAGAAAGTACCGTCAAGATGAGCTAAGCCGAGCCCGAAGCCTTGATACCAAGGAAAGCCCGCCCTCTCTCAATCTCTCTCGTACAATACAAAACCTAATGCAGACAGAACTGGAGAGGCAGAGAGGGAGAGAGAGAGAGAGAGCGAACGTGTGGCAGGATTGCCAGAGTTTATTTGGCCGGCATCTTACGATGCTTTGTGCGACGTGCAAATCTGTAGCATGGGTGTCAGCGAGAAAGCGTGAAGTGATCTTCCCGACAGCTTTGCCCCAGGCTTAGTGACAACTACTATCGCAGGCATGGTTTTCTTGCAGGATTCCAAGTCATCCAAAGCCGTCACACTGCTGGCAGGTCCTGGCGGTTGTCCTCAGTGCCACGGCTAGAGATTCCACATGCCTGCTTTCACTGTCATGGTAGACACCATAGATGACTCTCTGTGGAATGGACGGCTGCCTGGCAAGCGGAGGTGCGGCGCATCAAGAATGTGATGTGCTTTCTGGAATGGGCACCGGACTTGGATCATGCTTGGAGGTGTTCGGTGCGTTGGGCAGCATCTGTGCAATCACGGCTCTCTGTTTGCATTTGTCGACTTTGGAAGCATCAGCCGCAAGAGGTGCCTGATGCGGCCTCCCTGGCCACACTTGCCGGTGCCTTTGTGTGTCCTTGCAACGATGCAGACATTCGAAGAGGCGTAGACAGCGAAAAAAACAAGTAATGTTGACTTGGGCGTGACTTCAAAATAGTTTTGTCAAGAAGCAGCTCAGTAGCAAGTACTGGTAACCGAGACGAAGCATCAAGCTAAAGCCTTGACAAGCCGCTCAGTCGAAAAAGCTCAATGTCTTATCATTTTGGCTCACCTTTTCCTGAAGCGGCCGGTGAGTTGGGAAATAGCTGCCTTGGCCTCAGAGGCGGTGACGTCAAAAATGACAGAACGTCAACGCGAGCGCTTGGAAGAGGCGAACGGTTTGCGAGCTTGTTAATCTGCTGATTGCAGCTAGGGGGCATGCCTGGTGCAGTTGACAGTCTCACTGACAACGGGCATGATTATGCCAGGTATACCGGTTGTACGACCAGGAGCGCAGCAGTTGGAGCACGGAAGATACCCCAAGAGCATGTCACGAGAGCGGGAAGTTACCAGTACAACTCGTACCTGCACGCCGTCAGGATGGCGACGGAAAGATCAAGGGCCATGAGTTCAGCCGCCCAGTGTGTAGCTGCAGCTGTGTTTACTTCACCTCTTGCCTCAAGGAGCATGTAGTACGCGCGACAAGTGTTCTGTCAGGCTGCGAGCATTCTTCCAGGCCCTGGACCTCGATGAGGCTTCGGGCACGGGGGCTTCTTCTCAGCAAAGATTCCCAGCTCCAGGAAGGTGAGGAGATCCAGATGCCGCCTCAGTTACGCAGTATGCTGGACCTACAAGTAAGGCGTGTGCCCTTGCCCGGCCCCTGGCCCACCACACAGGAAGCGGCATCATGGGTCGTTGTCGCTCAAGGAGATCCAAGAGGACGGAGTCTCACCGCTTCGCGACAGAAAACGCGAGAAAGAAATCCGCGCAGGAACTCACACGGGAGACGTTCTACCGCATGCAGAAAGGGCGGTACTTCGTCGTGTTGTCGCTGGAGGAGGTGAGAAAGCGGGAGGGCGGGAAGGATCGATGCCACGGCTGCCACGGTCTTCGCAGGCTGAGCACCTACGAGGCTCCATGCATCTCCTGGGCTCGGATTGGCCCAAAACTTGCGGCATTGCTTTGCCCCTTCTCCCAGCTTGTTTCATTCGAAGCTCTGGTCGCAGTCGGGTCGCTCGCCTCGTCCGCACTGAAGGCGATGCCTTGGAAATTTGGAGGTGGGACCTCTGCGCGAGCAAGTTCAGAAGTACCGTTAGAAACGCACTTGCGCGTCTTGGAGTCCAAGCTGGATTCATCCTTGCTGGACGAACTGGGGCCAGTGACGGAGCGCTCCGGCCTCGCTTGAGGTTTGGGTACTGTAGGAGTTGTTCTGGAACCCATTGGTGAAAGCACCGTCTGTCGCAGTGAAGCTGTTCTCTTGCGTAGAGGCGTAGAGAGAGAATGGACGGACACTGCTGTTCGGATCTCTTGCCGGACGGGTCCGCACGAGTACAGCGACGTCGTTGGATAAATGATTTAGGAGGGCTTGGTTCAGGGTCAAAACACCCGGAAGGTTCAGGGTACCCTAGATAGCTTATGGTGCCGTTGAGCTGGATTTGTTCTCCACTTGGGCTCAGATGGAAGCAAAGAATCTAGGGGCTTGATCATGATATATCATAACCCCGCTTCGCGACAAGCTCAGCTCAGCCATGCAGGAGGCAAAAGAGAGGGGCTGGATTTCTTAGTTTCCTTTTGGGTGGTCCGGCCAAATCCAGGAAGTAAGAACTCGGGGGGCTGGAGTTCTCATTTTGCTTTTGGGATTTCCGGCCAACATCCCGTGAGAAGTACATCCAGGGGGCAAAAATGACATCCAGGGGCTGGATTTCAAATTTTCCTTTTGGGCGATCCGGCCAAAACCCAGGAAACAACGAAAACAAATGTGCAGGATTTGCGCGGTCCGGCCAAACATTCTGAGCAGAGTAAGCCTAAGGCTTAACACCCAGCCCCAGCCCCTCCCTTTGCTTAAGCCGAAGCTTGATCCCGGCCATGCGAGAGGAAAGAAGCTTGCAAGTACAGGAGGGTGTTTAGGGTCTTGCGTTTCTGGTTTATGGGCGTTTCTGTGACCCTGAATTTTGTCTTTTGGTTTGGGGTGGTTCCAGCAGCCTGGCGGATTCTAGCACATGTTCGCACAAATTCAGCCGTTGGTTTTCTTATTCAACACTCTGTTCCAAAACCTTGCTGGCACTGTACTGACTTGTGTTTGTTTGTTCCTCCTGAAATGTTTATTCTTCCGGCCTGTCGGCAGATGTCGGCAGTAGCGGCACGACTGTGAGCAGACGGAATTGTTTGCAGGTCGGCTGAGCTTGGTTATCAACTTGAGGCACAACATGCAGGGTTGCATGATGTTGCATGAGTGCACACGCTCCCATGCTTTCGAGTTTGCTTGCTGGCATGTCTGTCTAGCAGAAAGCACAAGGTGGCAGAGCAGGTTCTTCGCTTTACCAACTCAGCGGCAAACTTCCAGGACGCTAGCTCAACAATGCATGAACTCGGCAATATTCAATGATGTTCATCGGTTCTCAACGGCTCAGGCACGCGAGCTCAGCATCTTGCTGCGCTCCCTGCAGCGTACGGACATGCCAAAGCGAGCTCCGTGGTGGCTGGACATCCGCGCATGTAGGACTGGCTGCATGACTGCGTGAGGGAAAGAAGGCAAAGATTCCAGCGATGCGCAGGAGGCGGTCACAGCTCCCGTGGCAGCAGTCTTCTCCCAAGACGCGTAGACTTGTCCATGCAGAGGAAGGCCCACCAAGAAATACCCTGTCCGCATTTGCCAGCTGCCGGCTTCGCTTCGCCACGCTTGGACCGGTGCATAGCACAAGTCAGAAGACACAGGGCGAGCAGTGTGCAGATACGGCCCGCCTGCCTGTGGGCGCAGTCAGCACGGGTTCAGAGGAGCCGCACCCACACAAACGGCGCAAAGATGTAATGGGAGTAGATTTCAAGAGAATGTCAGTGGTTTGCGATGAAGTGACATGCACTGGATCCTCCTTCCAACTGTTGACATCTAAGGCTACCACTTGCCAAGGAAGGAGCCTTGCTTTGCCGGCTGCTCGCTGTTTGCGCGAGTCCCTGCAAACCGAGGTGTTTGCAGAAACCGGTGTGACCCACAGTGAAGATTCCTGCTGATCGGATGTTCTGCTTCACCTTAAGCTGATCTCGAAAACTCTGGCAAGATGGACTGGATGACCTTGCCGTGCGAGCATTCCTATCAAGATTGAGCTGGGCGCGCGGACCTGAATGCTGCATGCAGAGTTGCAGACCAGAGTCCTTTTGAGACTTATGGGCCTTATGGGTATGTCTTTCAGGCTTGCTGGCATGCTCAAGCCTCAGCATGTACAAGCAGTGGCAAGCAGCGACCGGAGCATGGTAAGCTCTGCAAAGCGGGAGGCGCTTGTCCCCTGCAGATGCATTCATGAAGCTGGACTGCGCTGGAGAGCAGGAGGTGTTTCACCCACAGCATGCAGCTATCTGGCAGGACTCTGATCGGAGTGGGTCAATCGACCACAGAGAGCTGACAAAGGGCTTGGAGTGGCTTGGTCTTCGAAAGGCGAGAAGAGCTCAATGAAGCGCGCAAATGCGGGCGGCTAACCGGAGTTCAACTAGGGTCTGCCTGCATGCAGGCAGTAGCGAACAACACCCGCTGGGCAGAGCACATTGCCAAAATCTTCCAGGAGCTATCGCTTGATGCCCTCTAGGATGAGAATCCACGAGATGGGGGATGTCCCAGTGGTCAGGTGATGGATGCCGACGGGGACGGCCTCTTGTCTTTGAACGACTTCAAGGCATCCCGGGATGGCAATTGCGGCAAGGGTGCGCCTGCACAGGACGTGCACATGCAGCGGTCATGTGAGAATGATGCAGGGCGCCCTGGAGTTGGACGAGCAGGACTGGGAAAGCGTTCCTGCTGCGTGAGCACCCTCAGGTCAGGGAGCTTTAAGCGCGCACTTTCCGAGAGCCGAGAGCCCAGGTCTGTCATGCGACCAGGGCGGGCGGACTCAGTGCGGCAGCACTGCGGCGGCCGAGGGCCGAGGGAGTCTGCAAGCCGAGTCTGTTTATGTCAGGATGGACTTACCACTTTCGTCTCGGCCCCCGATGCCGACAGTTCTACAGCCACCAGGCAGCCGGCTTCGAAAGTTTTGGCCGATGTTCTTCGTGTTGCCTCAGTCAATTCATGATATTCATGGACCATGATAAGAAAGATCAAGAAAGGCAAGGAACCAGCCAAGCTGAGCCAGAGGGTACTGCACCCAGTGGTGGAATGCACCAGACCCATGGCAGATGTATTCAACAGCGCTCAAACCCTAGGACACCAGGTGGCTGCCCAGCGGCCGCTTCCGGTTCAAGTGGCAGCCGGATCCCTTCAGAGATCGTCCGTGCTGGGAACGATGGCTGGTATTGCCCGGATGGTTCCCTTTGCGCTGATCCAGAGGTGTCATGGAGACTTCGCCAGAAACCTGGCATATCCAAAGTCTTCAGTTGCAGATCGTGCAGAAGCATGCGAAGAGCAACCACATTCGAGGGTGAAGTATGGAACACTCAAGGCTCGACTCCCGGCATTCTGTTTGGAGGCCAACTTGGCAAGACAGCTTGTGGTGGCTGAGGCACTCTGGCAGAGAGGAAGCTGTCAATATGGAAGCCAACGAAGCTTCGCACGAAGGACCGCGGTGTGGGAGGGATGTTTTGAGGCATCGCACTTCAACAGCGCCGCATGCATGACCACATCATGACAAGACAATGATCAGTGCTTGGCAGAACCCCGACATTCGAGGTGCCGCCCTAAAGAAAGCTTGGTGTTTGTGATTGGAGCCTCGGGCTGCGCTTCTGCACTTACAAGTTACGGCTCTTGCACGAGGCCCGCAAGTGAAGCAACGACTTTGCTGCACCCTTACTGGAAAGAATGGGGAGAGTTGGAGCGAGAAGCATTCAGCGTGTTTTGATAGGTTTTGGCGATGTCGCTGTCGCCGGCACCAAGAAGCCAGCACATGTTGGGGACTTTGGAGTCAGGCCGTATGCAATGTCCTAGAAACAGCAGCTCGGCTCCTGGGTACTTCGCTGCAACGAAAGCCTTCTTGGCACTATGTGATGCTCTGTTCGCAAACTCTCAATGATACTGGTTAGACAACTGCTTCTTCCTGTCTACATGCATCTGATGTTTTTTTGCTTCCAATTGTGCACGACTGCGAAAAACTGCGACATTTCGAGTGCTGAGGTTGGTATGCTCGAGGTGTTTGATCAAGAAGAGAGTGGCTGGTTTCACTCAGGGGTCCAACACCCAGCGATGCCCGGTTCCTTCTGCATGGCCGCCGAGCATCCGTCCGAGGACTATTCCGGCTTGGAAGCATTTCTTCAAGCAGTTCTACCCCATCCAGTGTCTTTTCAGCCTGAGTATGATCAGCACATGTTGGTCATATTTTCAGGTACTGAAGCAACACGAGCCTCCCACTTTGTCCTAAGGTGAGATACCGGAAGGCTGTGCCAAGTGGCTGCTTGCTTTTTGCATCATTCGACACTTCGCGCATTGGCTTCTGCCGAAGGCGTGGTCTCAAGTTGCCGGCGAAAACCAGCTCCACCTTTGGAGGCTATACCGGATACAAGCGGTCTGCTGGAGGTTTCGCTTTTTTGCGTCAGGCCGATTCCACCATCCACGGACTTCGTCGCCATCGGACTGGTGGCAACAGAGGCAATGATAAGCTAAGGGAATTCCCCCGGCCCGCCCCCTGCAGGGTAAAGAATGACTTCCGGCCCAGCATTAGATGCATTGAGGGCAATCGGGTTCGCGCAGCTGGGGCCTTCAAGTTCCTGGGCAGTTTGCAGTTCCCCTGCAGTCCTACGTTCCTGCAGCCCATAAACTGCCTGTTCGGATGTCTGCACGTGCTCCGAGGGTGGTAGTTGTAGTGGTCGTATTCGTCGTGGTGGTGGTGGCAATCGTAGTCGTAGTAGTAGTAGTAGTAGTAGTAGTAGTAGTAGTACAGGGTGCATGACTTAAGGCGTCCCGCATATGCAAAACGCGTCCCACGAGGGGCGTCACCCTGTAAATACAATAATTTCACATGTATTGGATCTTATCGTCTTAGTTACAATTGAGGCGTCTAGTTGTGGAATAGGTTAGGTTCGGCTGGCTGGATTGTGGTGATATAACTTTTGTAATGGAAATGCCTTGTTTCGGCTCCCGGCTGTTTCGGCTCCTGGCTGGATTGTGCTTGCTTGTAGTACAGCTTTTGTGCTGGAAATGCCTCGTTTCGGCTCATGGCTGGATTGTGTTCGATTGTAGTACAACAGTAGTACTGGAAATGATTTGGAAATGCCTCGCTTCGGGCTTCTGACTGGATTGTGCTTGCTTGTAGTACAACTTTAGTACTGGAAATGCGCCTCGCATCGCGTGCATGTCCCCTTAGACAGCTGTGTTCCAATAAAGCGTGATGTGACTTAGCTTTGCTGCTGTATGGAGGGTTTTGCGGTGAACCATGTGGGTTGCTGTGAAGGGCGTCTGCTTGGTAATTCAGACATGTTGGATGCCTCTGCAAAGGCACTTGTGAAGCGATTCCCTGCGCGACGCGTGCATTTCCCTGTCTTGGCACATATTCCTTGGCACATGTTTCAAAACATGATGTCGCAGACGCGTCACACTGGGGATTCACTTTGCGACGCGTCACACTGGGGTGGGCTGTCTTTTGCGGGGGTGGGGTGACTTACGGCGCTCACCTCGTAGTAGGACGAGGAGGAGCAGCAGCAGTAGTAGTTGCAGTACTAACGGTACTGTATGTAGTATGTAGCATGTAGTAGTATGTAGCAGGGGAAGCGATTAGGTTACGCCGGTCCTCTCAAAAACCTGTCGGAATTCAGGCGGATTCGGAGCCGGAGGTGCCAGCACCTGCCAGTTCCTGGCCACATGAACTGGCTTCCCTGCATGTTTCTCTGCCCTGCTCATGTTTCAGGTGACACGTGTCCATTGCATTCCCAGGGACTGGACACGGCAAGTACGCCTGTTAGACCGGTACGGACAATAGAGTTGGCGGTGCGAAAGTCCTTCAAGGTCCCTGCAGAAGAATTCTGGACGGATGCGGGAACAGGCGGACAAGCGGCGAAATTCTTTGTGCGAATCCCAGTTACTTATGCACTTATGCTATGCACCTTGCGGCCCTGTGGCCAATGCCACGCGCTGCTAGAAAATCGAGGTGTCTTCCTTTGCGGAATCGAAGCTTGGGGCCATCTTCGAGGCTCCATCGCCTAGAGCCTCAGCCTGGCTCAGCCTGGCTCATCCTGGCTCATCTTGCGCTTTGCGATGCTCTGCGTGAGGGTACACCCTGCAGGTGGCAGCAGGCTCTTCACATTCACCGACACCCGAGATGCATCAGCTCAAAGACTTTGCGCACCAGGCACTGTGAAGAAGAACGCGTTTGTATGGTCGATCTGAGTGTGTGTTTTTGCGCAGCTAGATTTCGCAAGTGTCTAGGTGTTCGTGGAGATGCCAAAGTCTCTCAGACTTTGACGCGTTTGCGGGAGCAGACGGCAGTCTCCGACGGCCGAGACGGCATTCCAAAGAGGTCTCGCGAGCCTTGCTAAGACAGCTTAGCGAAGAGTGGCTTCGTGACGGTACTGGTGGGTCAGGACCCAGCCGAATGGAGACTTGCGATCGCTTTAGTGATATCCTGCGGGAGAAAATTGCAATCGTCGTGCCCGCAGCTTGGATGGGATTCTCTTGATATGGCTAACTCGGACATGCCGCTGATGTGCCCCTTTCGGCTACACCCTGCGACGACATCAAACGGTAACCTACGAAAGAAGCGTCATGCCAAAGGAATTCACTGCGTGCTGAGAAATTGGGTGCTGACTGCCCTGTGCCAATCCTTCCCAGGTTGGTCTAGGCTTGTCATAAGCAGTTGACACTTTCCCGTCCACTGGCACTACGGCACTATCGCAGAAAGTGGCTCAGGGGCCGCACTACACCGAGAGTAGCAGCAAGCTGGCAGTCCTCAAAGCCGGCAGCAAGAGTAAGAGACTCCCATCCGGTTTCCACGAGCATCGCATCTAGGACAAAGCGCTTCTGTTCTTGCCTCGCACTGGCCGTGCCCACCATGGAGAGACGAGTGGATCCTGAAGATGGTAGAGCACAAACTCTCGACGAGATGCTGCTGAAGTACAAAGGCACCTACAGCAAAGCTGTCGCTTGCCATGATTGTAGAAAACAATTCCTGCTGTTGTGTTGCCGTGCCGTTGTGGCGTGTTGCATTTGCTAGAAAGCGAGCGGGAACTACCGAGGAGATTGAGGCTTATTTTCGCTCTGAGTGCCAGCTGGCAAGCGAAGGCAAGCGGACCTCAGCGGTCGCAGCGGCCTTCGCGTCGAAAGACAGCTCGGAGATCAATGGCCTGGCGGAGTGGCTCCGTGAAGTGGGATACGAGCGCTCTTTTCAGAAGGTGGCCGACTGGTGTCGCGAGAATGGGGCTGTGCTTTTGGAAGAGGTCCAGGAGAATTGGGAGCAAGTCAGAAGCGACTTGGGATTGGAACAAGGCTCTGGCACTGGCGCTCACGATGAGCAGGTGTTCCAAGTGGCCGGGTTGTCGGCGTGGTTAGAAGAAATTGAACTGGAGGATTATTTGGAAGATGTCTTGGTGCCCTGATTGCTTCAGGCTTGCATGCTGCATTTGTGGAAGGTCGAATCCCCACCTTCACTTGAGAGTCTTAGAAGTGTGAGTCCTCACAGAATTCTCTTCATCATTGATTTTTTATCCTTTTAGCAGTGTGCCCGCGGCAGAGGAATGGTGTCATCAGCATGGAGTTCGCGCTCTGAAGGACGGTGGGTTTTTCTGCAGAATCTGGGCCATTGTTGCCAGCTTTAGAAGTGATTACTGCTGCAGGAGATCCAGACGAGATGGGAAGAGATTCTACAAGAGCTAAAATTCAAAACTGCCAAAGAGCAGTTGCCTGGAAAGCGTGTTTCAGTTCGTGTTCTGAAAGGCAAATGGCAGGGAAGCTACATGGCACAGGCTCCGGAGTTTGACAATCACAGGTATCCGGCATCCGTATTTTGTATATAGTAGTATATAGTTCTTTGTCACTCCTGTTCTCAAGTGTTTACTTCCCAGCCTATGCCTGCTATCTTCCTTGCACCATCTTGCACCTGCCATTTTGTGGCTACGGCCAGGTATTGGAAGTTGCTTCAACAGGTATTCAGATTCGACACTTGGAGGATGATTTTGAAGAGACATTGCCACTGGACGCGCTCGGTGGGGGGAAGTACTTGCTCGAACCTGTGGATTCCGACGAGGCCAGCGGCTCAGACCTGGACGATGTGAAAAAGGGACAGCGTCACCAAGTGATCCGAAGCGAGTTTTTTTCAAAGTCGGAGTTTGGAACCGTGCCATCTTGTGGTAATCATGAGCATCCGGGAGTCATGGAAAGATTCGCCCAAAGCTTTTACCCGCGACTGCAAAGGCCTGAGCCGGAGGCTATGCGTGGCTATGCGTATCTACTAAAGGGTAGAACCCGCGGAGTCTGAAAGGACATTCCCCAGGGAAAAAATATGAAAAAAGCCTGTCGAGCGAAACATCTTCCGTGTTTGATTGTGTCTGAGAGTCATGTTTAAGCCACATTTAGTCTGAAATGGAAATTGTAATCCTGGAGATCCCGAAGAGGCACAAGGTATGTGTTTGGTCGAGTTGTGATGCCAACGCCGAACCATTTCCAGCAATGCAGTCAAGAACTCCCTGCGGTGCGACTTGTCAGCTGGGCGGGTGGGAAAAAATGCAGTCAAGATCTTGATGGACTGAGGAAGCCACAGGTGACGTGCAGGAATTGCTCCGGACAGGGCGATTGCGCGTTGATGCAACAGGTGGGTCTCCGTGCATGAGTCTACCACATGAAAGTCCACATGAGGGCAGAAGGCTGGCATGATCATCCATGTCGTTCGACCAAGGTGCAGGTTTGCAGCTCCGTTGGGTCAAGTTGGGTTATGCCGTGGACAAGGCCGCGGCTTCACAACGGCACAGGAAGGGGTACATTGTTACTCTTGCTGTTTGGTGCTGTGCTTAACTTTCAACAAAGCATGGTTTTCGGCGCATGTACTCGATGCATCCTCCGTCAAGGAAAAGACTCGTGAGAAGTCGTGAGCAGTGCTTGCTCGCGAAAGGAATCCACACGGTCTCATATTCTAACGGCAACTGGCGCGAGACTGAAAAACCAGGCACGCACGCATACTCTTTCCCCAATGGACCGCGCGCAAGATCTACCGTAGGCCAGCTGGACCCGCACTGAGCAGGATGCACACCATCTCTAGTCAGCCGTGTGGGGGCGCCATGCCCACAACAGGGCAAACACACAGCAGGCGGTGGGTTTTTCAGCCGGACTGCCCACGTGTGCCATAACACGAACATTGATGCACAAGGCATCGCGATTTGTTGGTGCACGAGCGAGCGTGCAGGCATTCTTGTCGGGCGGCTGAAAGCAACACTTTGTTCGATGCTGCTGCTACCCGACCCCGAACAACAGCACCACTTAGCACTCCGATGTGTGGGGAAAGAGGCTTGCGAGAGTGAGTTCCGGTTCTGCCTTGTTGCACGGTTTCTCTTGGCAGTTCTGATCCGAAGCTTCGGGATGCATCCAAGTAAGTGGGAGTAGCTATTATTTTGGGGACCAGTCTATTCGAGGGCCAAGGCGCCACACTTTGTGACAAGCACAGCACGTGCAGATAAGTGCGGCATGGATCCACGTGGAAGCCCATTCAAAACTTGCCAGCGCATCCTTCTGCTGAACAAGAGACCTGCAGCAGTTTGTTGGACCTTTCAGAAGATGAGTGCTCGCCAAGTCGTGCCCAGCGAATCGGTACACCCAAATTCGGGGCAGGTTTTACCGGATTTTGCCGTTCGCATGTTGGAGAGATGGCCATCAAGCTTTGATCAGAGCAATGCAGGTTGAACGGAAGCCCGGGCAGGATGATATTCGTGAAGGTGACGTGGTCCTCGCAGTTGGTGGCTCGCTACTGACAGGGTTGGATGAAGACACTGTGGAGGCCGCCTTGCCTTTTTGCGTGATGATTGATAACAGCAGTTCTTCTCCGTTTTTGATCTGCGTCCAATAACCTTTGTTATTCGTTGGCTCAGCACAGTCTGATCTCAGAATATGTAGTGGTCTGCCAGGAGCGCTTCAGGAACTCATTCGGCAACGGAGTCGGGATCGTGATAGGCTGCATGAGCGAGCTGATGAAGCATCCAGTGGATCGAATAGTAGAGCACGTTTCTGCAGAGCTACGGCGTGCAGCTTGAATGCACCTGGCAAAAGAAAGTGCAGCTGTCAGTAGCCCGAAAGCTCAAAGTTAACAGTAGGAAATATGGAATGGAATTGACAGGCTCGAACCCTATGCCGGGGCCGAATCCGAAATCGAAAACTCCGCATTTCTGACGCCCACTGCAGACCTGTGCGCCTGGCTGTTACTTGCCCTACCATGATGGAAGCTGGTGATTACGTTCCTGTAGGTAGCAACGTCATCAGCCCCAACCTGTTGAAATAGCGAGCCCGGAATGGCCCAACACGTTCGTCATGACACCCAGCACCGTGACCGTGACCATTGAGGACCAAACCCGAGCTGGTGTACAAGTTGACATAGTCTGACTTTGATGTCTTGCGACCTCAGACAGAGAGTTCAAGCACATGCCTTGTTGGGATGATGATTTGTTGCAAATTAGATGTTCCGGAGTCCAAACTTTACCCGATGCCGCAGCACAATTCGGATCATCAGCATTTTCTCATTCCAAGAGCTGCCGTAGCTGTAGCATGTGGCAGCCTCGGTTTCCGTGCCTGAAGGCTGTTGCTGTGATGGGGCGCCAGCACTCGTGCCAGGCCGATCACAGGGCTTGCAGATGTTGCAAAGGATCCCGAAGCAGGACTGAAGTTGGCAAGCAAAACGTTTCGAGCCAGGAACCGAAACGTGCTCCTTCAGAGGAAAGAACCAGAGCCCTTTCGGCCCCGGCGGAATATATCATGAGAAGCAGGTCGGCTCTCTGTGCGCTCGGCCCTCGGCATTGCCGACTTCATCGACTTGGCGCTACGGCAGCTACGGCAGGTCAGGTTATTGAACACATTTCCTCTCCAAGGCGTCAAGCTTTAGCTCGATGCGGGCAGCATTTTGCAGTCATGGTCAGACCATATCAGAAACTACTTCCTGCCTTTAGGATTTTGAGTTGAGTACCTCCTCCAAAATAGGACGCTTTGGACTGAACGTGCCACTTCCTCCAAGTCAGCGACTTTACGTTGACAAGCTGAACGGCCATGGCTGCTCGAAAACGCGAGTCTGAGTCGGGCTTTCCGTCACCACTCTTTGGCTTCTGCTCGCTGGAGTACGTCCGAGAAAGCCTCATAACATTACACAACTTCACATGATGACCAGACCAAGCTTTGAGCCGATATGCACACCACGAAGGTTGATGCTGGCTGGTACGATCGAACTCTCATGTGTGTAATGTCCCGAGGCCATTCACTGTGTGAACAACATGCTCCAGGCTTTCGGCTCATGCTGCACTTGGGCATGCGTGGCCGCGTTGGCATTGACAGCTCTATCCGATTATCAGTAGATGCCCAGGGGCCGCTGTACGAAGACCATGACTTCAGATCCGTTGCAAGAGCCACTCGGCCAGAGCAAGTGGTGTGCTTCTCTACTGGACTCGTGGAGTTCGGTCCGAAGCATCTTCAATGGCCTGACTTAGATCCTGGACGAGCGAGAACGAAGCCTAATGAAAGGAGAAGACCTAGATTTTGGCGGCGACCTCAGCTGCATGGGCACGGCGTCATGCCAAGTTATACACCTGCGTTTTTCCGTGAGTGACGTGAGGCAATGCTCGCTATGATGGCTTCTACAACGTGCAGGTCGTGCAGGAGCTCACAGCATGCGATCTGTCACAGATCACAAGTAGCGGTCGAAGCACGCAGATTCATTGAAGGTGAAATCTGGGTTGAACCAGCCAACCATGCAGTGCTTAGGGAGAGACGGGCAAGGCATGCACACGCAAGGCGGTACCGGAGGATTTTCTCTGACATACTCCGAAGTTTCGAACTGATCCGAAAGGGGTTTTAAGGATAATTCGCACACCGGCTCATGTAATCACCATGGCCATCCGCTGCCATCAGGAAAGCCTTCTGCATTCTGTTCGCATTTTGGCTTGCCAGGAAGTCTTGAGAAGGGCGGGATATGAGATGACCTCGGTCTCGGCCGAGGCCTACACCTACTTGTGATAAATGTTTTGGATGGGCAGTTCTTGAAAGCCTCATGACTCCACAAACTGTTCAACTCGACAGGCTGCTAAGGATGGCGTGGAGAGAGCAAAGGAGAAGGCATTCATCTTGAATAAGCCAGCTCCCCGTCTTGCCAGTGCATGTGCGTGAGACTCCGAGACCTTTGAACCGGTTTCCAGGCAAGAGCATTGGTTCTGTGTGCGGCGGCTTGGTCAGGAGTGGTGTGGGCCGCAGAGCGTAGCGAAGTTCGTGCCTGGTAACCCCGGGCATCCCCTAGGCCCTGGGCGCCAGCATGCGCCAGCCGACACTGATACCAGAAAGTACGTGTTGGTACGTGATGCGGTGGAAACGGCATTACACTTCAGCACAGGCATTTGGCAGAAAATGCAGCTGCAGTGTCTGCAACGGCCTAGAACCTCGATGTCCAGCGGTGAATGTTTGCATGGCTTGACTGCATGCATGGGTTGCATTACGAACAGCGCAGCTGGTGCTGACATGTTTCAGCGGCGGCTGGCTTTGCGACGTTCAGCAGGCTCAGTCCGGATTTCGCGAACACTGTCACTTCCCCTTTCTGCCCCTCAAAGAGCTTGTGAGACGAGTCAACGACTGCGCCCTCGAAAACGTGATGTGCAGAGCGTTGCACCGATCAAGGAGGCTGCGGGAATAATTCCACATTTCCACAGAATTGCAGTACTGCAGGGCCAGCCTGACGCAATTGGTGAGCGGGCGGATTGAGCTTCTCCGACCTGAGCAGTACTGCGAGTACTGCTTTTGCAGCAAGCACACTGCTTTACAGCATGTACTACTACTGTTCTGTTTCAGACAACGGACACAGTATCCTGTGATGAGATGCCTTAGTAGCATGCGAAGACGATGCCCGACCTCATGGGTGCAACGAACTCTAGTTCTTGAGCTGCCCGTTCGTCTCTTGCGACCTCGCCCTGCTTGGTGCAACTAGCTAGATGCAGCACTTTGGTCACAGGCGTTGACAGCTCCGTTCATATTGCATGTGTTGCATGTTCCCAGTACCCGCACCGCGTGTGGCTAACGTGGAGCTAACGGGAGTTCGTCTCATGAGACTGAATCTGGCCCCGTGAGTGTATGGCGCGCCCCCGCGCCCCCCTCGCAAAACATTGCAGTTTCTCCGAGCATACTGCCAAAGTGTGCGCCTAAGAGCAAGCAGGTGGATCACGAAACCATCAGATTCAACAACCGTCCAGAACCCCTCTCAGTGCCTTTCTCCGTGCTCGTTAGTACCCCAGCTTCTAGAAACTGTGCGTTCAGACATCCAAAGCTTCGCAGTCGCTTAGTCCGATGCCGAGACAAAGATTCATTCCTAAAACAACCAACCGGGAATCTCGGCTACAACTCTTATCGACATTGTCGATAGTGTGGCGGTCGATATACACCTGGTGCCGCGTCACATTCTCTGCTCAGGGCGACAAAACCAAGCACCAACACTGCTACTCGTATCATGGCCCTTTTAAAATCACCAGGTCATAAAGACTACCACACAAGGACCACAAATCAAGTGCAGATCTAAACAGCAAGGCCAGCTTCGGAAGGAAAGTCCTGTGCGTCTGAGTTGCAATCGGGAATATAAGCGGCCTGTTGATTTGCCAAGGTTCGACCTTAACAGCTGCATGTCCGTGCCCAAGCACTACACGGATCGTGATCTCGAGTGGCTTATCAAAGAGGCAGCCAGTGACCTAGCAGGGGCAGCTTGCTGAGATGGCACGCTCATACATCCCTAATCTTCGAGCAATTCAGGTCAGTGATGGTTACGGCGTTTTTCGTGTCACTGGAGATTTCCCTTCGCCATGTGCTCAACCTGCTTTTTAGGCTTCACTGCTGAATCGCCTTGCTTAGCAGTTAACATCTGGCCGTCCAGGTGTGCTTTGGAAGAAGATCACAAGAAGCTGGTCGAGGCAAAGGAAGGTGGGGAAAGAAACATTCGTTCAGATGGTGACCCAGCCACGCATGTCTTTGTATCTAGCAGATAGTCTGCAATAGGCTGTGGTGGACCACGAACCGGCTACAGCTTATATGCTGGCTCTGGGCAGACTTTGTCAAGTCCGGGTGTTGGAAACTAAGCTCCGAGAACATCAAGCATGCAGCATCGGTCTCGCATGCTGGTCTCTGCATCAGCATGAGGCAAAAGCTCCTGCTGCCCCGCCGTCGGATGCCGCTGCACTTCGGGCTGTCCTATCCACAGCAACCGACGTGACTTTGCCCTGGTGCCGTGATGCACCTGTTTTGCTGGAGGCCAGGCTAGCTCGATTGGGAGGAGGCGAGAGCCAACTGTCACTCTGTCGTCACAGCATGTCAAGCCAATAACTCCAACCAAGGTGCTGCCCCTTCACCTCCTGCATGACTTTCACAGAAATGTGAGACATGTGCAGATAACAAGTCTGCTCTGGGAGGAGTGCAGCTTGCGAGCATAACTCTTGCCTCTTGACGTGATCACTCTTGCATTCTTGCATGATTCAAGCAGCAGGATAGCTGGAGGGCCAGATCTACATGCATGGTGCCCGGTCCAGTCGTCGGCCAAGAATGCAAGCTACAGCGAGCGAGCTGCTGACACAATTCGGGGCGTGGCACATGTGCCGCACAGGTTAACAGTTGCACATTGATTGCCAGACAGGCGAGAGAATGGAAATGGGCTTGCCTGAAAGACTGGATCGCACAAGCGAAAGTTGTTGTCAAAGTTTGTTTCACTACTTCGTCAACATTAGCTGGAACTTGTTGCTTGCTGCCAGTGGCGCGTTTTGAGTGTTGCTGGATGTGTTCAGCAGCTTCTTGGTGAGTAATGAGTATAAGCAAAGTACGTACCTTTCGAGACTCTCTGCTTGCACGCATGCTGCTTGCTCATCGAGCATTGGCTAGGGCCTGCGAGTGTTCTTGAGTGAACCTCGTGCCAAACAAAGGCAAAGGCCACTCAATGGCAAGGCCGCTCAGCGTTGGAGAATTGTTCGAAATTCGCGTCATCCAAAGGGTGCTGTCTTGTTTCTCCCTGCGCCGGGCTTGGCCATTGAACTTGAAAAACCGAAGGTTACTAGGGTGTCGGATCAAGCTTGCCGTTCAAAGCAGCGCCACGGTGCCATAATGGCGATCCCTTCTGGTTCGCGCTCCGTGCGACGGAGGTCTTTGACCTTCGTGCTTGCACTCGCCCTCGTGTGGCTTGCCATCGCACTGCGCTGCACAGAATCCTCACAATCGTTCGTGAGTCCATATCATGGCCAAGCCGGTTTGCCCCTGCGCAGCCGCGTCCGCATGGCCACCGCCACAGGCTTCAAAGAGGACGAGGATGAAGATCAGAGTGGCAAGCAGAGTGATGACTACCCAGAGTTGTCGGCTGAGGCATTGGGCCGTGAGCCTGGTACTTGCGATCCCTTTGATCCCAAGAGTGCCGAGTACTGTTCTCCAACTGAGCCAGAGTCCTCACCACTGATTTCGAAGCGAACGCTCAAGCTGGGAGCCCTCTTTGTGCTCTGGTATGCACTCAACATCGGCTACAACATTGGTAACAAACTCGTCCTTACGGCTCTTCCGACTCCATGGTCTTCCGCAACTTGGGAGCTGTTCTTTGGGCTGCCGTACGTCGGCTTCCTTTGGTTGACCGGGCTCCGAAAGAGGCCGGAACTGACCTGGAGCGGTCTCAAGCTCCTCATACCGCCGGCTTTCTTCCTGGCATGCACCCATGTCTTCGGTGTCATCTCATTCGGGGCTGGTGCAATTTCCTTTACGCATGTATGCAAGGCCACAGAACCGGTGTGGATCCTAGTCCAAACAGAAGGCATTCTGTAGTTTTGCGGACAGTGTTGACCAGAGGTGATTCGATCGTATGGTTTGATGCTCTTGGCTGCACAACCCAGGACAGCATTGATCTCAGCCTTATTCTTCCGCGAGTTCCTGCCAGTGCCTGTCTACCTGAGCCTCATCCCGATCCTTGTTCTTTTCAGCGGCTTTTTTGTTTTCCAGGGTGGGGCGAAGGGTTCCAATGGTGATCTGCCACGGTCCGTCGCACCGTTTCTTCTGTGGAGTGGCCTGACCTGGCAACCAAGGATCATCTTCGGAGTTTCACTGGCATCCGCCCATGAGCTCTCCTTTACCTGGATCAGTGCCTCGGCAACGGCAACAGAGCTAGGTCGAAGTCTCATCAGAACTCCGAGCCAACGTGCCCATGCTAAATTTACGGGGAAAGCTCAGACTCACACGATGATGAAGTTTATCCGCAACAGTGTTCGATCAGAAAGGGTGATGATGGGCTGCTGACTCGACGCACAACTGCATGGCCAACATAGTGGTACATGAGTTCTAGCTAGCTCATCTGCCTGCTCGGGAAACTTCGCTTCAGCAGAGAAAGGTGAATACTTCACCGGACCAAGCAAAAGTCGTAATGCCATGTCATCTTGCATATGCAGAGCCTCAACCGCCTTTGACACTGAGCTTGTGGCAAGCATGCCGAGACGAGCGATGTTGCTTGCTATTCTCAAGCTTTGAGAGCCTCCTTGTCTCTCCCTCACTTCCTGCGTATCCCGTGTGCATCCCTGCCCGTCTTCGGGTGTGCACAACCGCAGAAGAGGAAGCGCCTATCCGTGGATCTGCCCTGAAGGCTTCATCGCCGCCACTGGCAGCGCGGTGACCTCTGCCAGCAAAGCCATCCTTGGAAAGAAGGTGTTGGATGGAAAGTCCTTAGGAAAGAACCTCACGCCGGGTAACATGTTTGCCGTCCTCACTATCCTGGGTTGCTTCATGATTCTTCCAGCCTCCATGCTCATCGAGGGACCCTCGAAATTCACAGCTGCCTGGGCCCATGCGCGGGCAACGGGTTACACGGCTCAGAGGCTTTGGATCCTGCTCTCCGTTTCCGGCTTCCTCTACTACACCTACAATGAGGTGGCTTTTTTGGCCTTGAAGGAGGTTGCCCCGGTCACGCATGCTGTGACCAACACGGTTAAGCGAGTCGTCATCATCATCGCCTCAGTCATCGTTTTCAGAAACCCTATATCACCGCTCGGAGCTCTTGGTTCCAGCCTGGCCATCATCGGCGCGCTCCTGTATGCCCTCGCCAAGAATCAGAAGAAATGAAGGCTCCTTGTCTGAAGCGAAGTTGTCACGCCAGGCACGACATCATGTCGCAGCCCGAGCCTGCGAAGTGCGAGGAAATCCGTGGAGCTTCAACAACACAAATTCGCGCCGAAGGTGAGTCAACCATACTGCCCCACTCAGAATTTGTATCTTAACCTGCCCTGCAAGGATCAAAGGAGTCATGTAAAGAATGTAGGGCACGCTGCCGGGATAGGGGTTTAAAAAAAATTAAATCAGGATCAAA